TGAGATTGTAAAGGCTAGCGACGCCCCTGGTTAATATTATAGTTAAGAATGGGATATCGTCGGTTGAGTATTATAGTGTTCTATCTCCACATTTGATAAATGAATGAACTTCAGTAACTATATTCTTTCATATCAGCAATAATAATGGGAAAATATAATTTAGAATAATCCTTTATTCGCATGATTACATATTGATTTGCTATGAAAAATGTAAGAAAATTTTTTTTAAAAAATTCTCTCCTGAAAATTTAATATTATTTTTTTCTTTCTTTAAAAAAAAACATTAAGCACTCAAATCTTACATTTGATAAACATATATGCCTCCATAAAAAATTATTGAAAGCATTTTAAAAATTTCTTAGATGAGTACCACACACGAATCTAAAAACTTGGCACTCAAAAGTGGCAAAGATACAAAAAGGGATAAATATATCGATTTATATAAAAGAGTTTATTATTATCTACATAAAGAATCAGCTAATTATCTTGGAATCAGATACTTTCAATTTTGAACGATACTCAAAGATAAGTTTTCAAAAAAAAATCATACAAAAATTTCTAAACTGAAATAAAAAGAAAGAAAGATTTATAGCTTAAAAAATAATCTACTTTCGAGTAAAAATCTTTGATAAGTTTAATTTTATAATTTTCATGTGTTAAAAAATCAAATTTTATTTTAAAATAATTTACATTTCTCCTTTTAGTTTAATTGTATAAATTAATTATAATGATAATATTGATGATCATAGCTATTTACACATAATTATATGTTAATTTTTTTTTAATCGAGATTGGATATCGGTAAAAAGATTATCGGTGTACCTCTGCTTGAAATAGATTCTTTTTTTACAAAATAATAAAGGGAGATTCTTTTTTTACAAAATAATAAAGGGTATTGTTAGTATTAAATTGTTTATTTGGTTATTTTTGTATTTTTTTTAAAATATTTATTTTATAATTTCGAAATGATGTCTTTTGAGGCGTATCGTGTTGTTTCTGGTATCTTCTACATTTTTCAAATAATGTTTCTATCAAAACCACCAAAAGCATGGCACTGATTACATATTGATTTGGCTGGACTATTTCAAAATCATTATTGGATGCTAGTGATAGATGCTAGCAGTTGCTGGCTAGAAATAGTTCCCATAACTAGTACTACAACCGAAAGCACGATAAGAATATTAATAAATATCTTTGCCAGATTCGAATTTCCTAAGATAATATTTTTGATAACGGGTGACAATTCAGCAGTAAAGAATTCAATGATTTTTTCTAAAAAAACGGAATACAATTAGTGCACGGAAGTCCATACCCTCCTCAGACAAACGGTATGGCGGAACGTTTAGTTCGAACTTTTAAACAGAGCAAGAATAAAAGAAACGAAGGGGATTTAGAAACCACTTTAGCTATTTTTCTCTACAATTACGGAAATACACCTGGGGCATAAAATGAACAAATAGACGATATTCTAGTATCAGGGAAAACTCCGGCGGAACACTGGTTCAATTTGCATCAGCTCTTCACACGATTGGATGATTTTAATTTAAGAATAAATCTAAAAAAATGCAAATTAGCGCAACCCTCAGTGGAATATTTGGGACACATCATTAATGCAGACGGGTTAACCCCTAGTCCTAGAACAACAGAATCCATCAAAAATTGTCCAGTTCCAAAAAACGTCACGAAGTGCGATCCTTCATTGGTCTCGTTACCTACTATGCAAAATTTATACCAAACATGTCTACCATAGCTAAACCGTTATACGATCTATTACACCAAGGGGTAAAGTTCAATTGGAACCAAACCACATCTGACAGCTTCAATTCCATCAAGACCCTATTGATTTCCCCCCAAATCCTTTGCAATTATAACCTCGAAACCACCCTCACTCTATCTTGTGATGCTTCCGCTTATGGTTTAGGAGCCGTGCTATCACATCTATGGGATAACGATATCGAAAAACCTTTAGCCTATGCTTCCCGAACGTTATCAAAGGCCGAAATCAACTATTCCACCGTAGAGAAAGAAGCCTTGGCCATTATTTTTGCCGTTAAGAGATTCCGACAATTCCTACTAGGAAGACAATTCATCATAAACACAGACCATAAGCCCCTACTAGCCATATACGGAAAAAAAATTGGGATCCCTACCATGACTTCCGCAAGATTACAAAGATGGGGAGTAACATTAACGGGCTTCAATTTCAACATCCATTACAAAACAGGGCCCACAAATATGAATACCGACGCTCTTTCCCGACTACCGCTCCCTAACATCGACCATCAAGACGAAACCGAGGTAAACCAAATTCTACAGACCCGTATTAAAGACCTACCCTTCACTAGAGATAAAATAGAATCCATAACCATGCAAGACCCAGAATTATCACAGATCAAAGAAATTATACGAAATGGCTGGCCCCCCAAGATAACAACCACCGAATTACAAGAATATTGGAACATAAAAGATGAATTGTCAATAGATGGGGAGATAATTGTCCGGGGAACCCGGTTAATCATTCCCAAAACCTTACGACCCGCTATCTTACAAGAGATTCATAGTGGACACCCGGGTATTGTTCGAATGAAGGAAACCGCGAGGATTTAAGTCTGGTGGCCCCGATTAAATAAAGATATCACAAAAATCAGTGAAATGTGCAACCGTTGTCAACTATTCAAAGAAAACTTCCCCCAGAGATTACTACACCACTGGCCCGTCGCCAGCACAGTGGGAGAAATGGTACAAGTCGACCTCGCTGGACCCATACATCAAGTACATTGGCTAATTCTAGTAGATGCCTATTCCAAATGGCCAGAAATAGCCCGCTTGAATAACACTACATCCAAGGCCCTCCTAACAGCGTTAGAATGCATTTTTAATCACCTAGGCTATCCGCGAAACCTCATAACCGACAACGGACCCCAGTTTGTCAGCCACGAATTAAACCAATATTGTGACCGCCATGGAATAACCCATATCTACACCCCCCCCCCGTACTCCCCCCAAAGTAATGGAATAGCGGAACGATTCGTACGAACCTTTAAAAATGCTATAAGAGGGTTTCCTCGCACAGAAATTCAAACCCAGCTAACCAACTTTCTAATAGCCTATAGAAACACTCTGCATCCAACCACGAAGCAAACCCCAGCCATGCGATATCTTGAACGCAAGATCAGACGACCATTAGACCTCCTCCATGAAAAATCAGCATTTCGCACCAAACACTACCCGGTTCAGCCCGATCTAAGAAAGGGGGATCTAGTATGGGTTTGAACACCCCCAAGCCTTCCCAAACCACGATGGGAAAAAGGAACTATAATGGAGGTTCTAGGATCTGTCGTTTATTACGTAGAAACAGCTCAAAAAGCCCGACGATAGCCGAGATATCCGACCTCGACGGGAACCCGAAAATCAAGAAGAGCTAACACAATAGACGACCCATTCCCTAACAAACCTGGAAGTTCTCACTTTATTCGCCAACCGATCGAATCGCCCATCCCCAACTGTCTCAAAGCCACCAAAGATCCCAACAAGGAGGAAGAAGCCCAAGTACTCTCATTTCTCGAACCCAACTTACCAGACAAAACGACTGCGTACAAACAGACTCAACAAATTTCAAATAACCCACAAGAGCTCTTGGACCTACCACCCCGAGGTAGCCCAATTTAAGAGGGGAGGAGAATGCCGTATTTCCACAAAAAAAACACCTTTTTTTTTTAAAACATTGTATTTTGATTTTATATATATATTGATTTTTTTTGTGTGGTCATCCACCTGTTACAAATCCCCTTTTTTTATATGTCCACCACGTATTTTCAAAAGTTAGACGTAATTAAATCCGCTCTAAACCAGCGGTGCAGTGAATGCCGTTTTATTTATTTTATTGACTTAAGGTAGGATTTACCTTCGTTATTAAATCCGCTCTAAACCAGCGGTGCGGCTAATGCCGTTTATTTATTTTATTGACTTAAGGTAGGGTTTACCTTCGTTATTAAATCCGCTCTAAACCAGCGGTGCGGCGAATACCGTCTTGGTTTATTTTCGTAGGAATTAAGAATGAAATCGGCGCCGACGGCCGGGTAGCCGTATTTAAGAGGGGAGGAGTGTTATGTTCTACCTCCCCCTCCTTTGTCCCGTACAACTTATTTCTTTTTTTTTCTACTTGTTTCTTTTGTTTTCCCATCTTCCTTTATTTTGTTATGAAATTGATATATTTTACCTTATTTTTATATTGCATTTGAAACTGGTTCTTACCAGTTTCATGAATGATTGTATCGCGATTAAATAACAACTTTTTTTTCCTTTTTGTTTTAAAAATTATAAAGGTTGAAAACAAAACAACTTTTTGATCATTAATTATTTTCGTGTTTTTTTTTGTAAATTAATATATTTTTTTATGAAAACTGATTGTGCGTAGTTTTTAATTATTTTGTAAATTGTAACATTTTAACAATAAAGTTAAATTACTAAAATTACTCTGGATGATGACAAAGTTAAAAACCGGTCCCACGAATTCGGCCGATCCCTCACCTTATCCCACGGTAGAACCGCTTGCGGTCGTGGCCTCAAACTCAACAAACCAATTAGATTGGGGATAAATGTTATTTATTAATTGTTTATTTCGTTATTTTTTGTAAAGTGTTTATTTTATTATTTTGGATTTTTTTGTCAATTTGCATATAAAAAAATGCGATTTCATAAGAAATAAAAAAAAAATTATACTTCTAAAAATATACTTCAATTATATATATCAGGAATATAGGTGAAAAGGCCTAATAATTGGTCGACTCGTTTTTAGAAAATCAACAAAATAACGAATCAATCAATGGAATTTTAATATAAGGCTTTTTTTTTAAATGAAAATCATCGTCTCCCTTTTTAGTTTTCTTAAGTTTGAAAAATATAGTTATTTTGGTGGCCATGATATAAAACGATTTATTTTGCTTTATAATTATAAGTTCGAAGAGAGAAAATATATAAAAATAAATTAACAGACAAACCTCGTGAGACGCCAGGTCGGCTTCCAAGGCGGCTTGCTTTTTCAGGGCCGCTGCGAGATTGGCGTATCCTACTGCACCGCTGCCAGCCTCTTCCCCGGCGCCGGTATTACCAGGTTCAATCCCGGCCCGGACCTCCTCAAGCCAAAATTGTAAGTCCTTTAGGGCGGCCCCGAAGGAACGCTTCTTGTGGGCCTCTTTCAAAGCAGTGCTCTTGGCGCGTGACCGCGCAGTGAGGGCATCCCATTGCTGCCCAAGGGTGCGAAGGCGGTCTTCTACAGCCCCCTCCGAACCCCCGCAACGCCCGCGGGCTATTAGATTGGCCCCGGTAGCTACCAGGGCTTGCACTCTGTCTGCATTCACGGCGAGCTCGGCCTCGTAGGCTTGGTGTTTCTGGTGCTTGCGCTATATTATATTTTAAAAGATTTAGGGCTTAATCACATTGAATGCGTCAAAAAATCAAAGTTCTGGACCCAAATTCAGGTTATGAAATTTTAAATTCCATTTAGTAGAAATTTTGATAACAGGAACTTAATCAAAAATCGATTTTCTAAAAGTGGTCCAAACTTACCCCAGATCCATATTACCCCATGTTCGATATCTCTGAGAGCAAAAATAATGTTATTAACGTCAAGCCCCCAAGTTGTGAAGTCTATGATGCTGCGTTATTTTTACACTAATGTGTATGATTAATATTTTTATATTATTTAAAAATATATTTTTCCTATTTAAGATTGGATCTAGGTAGAGTTGCGTAATCGGCTAAAAACTATGCCTAAGCCTAATAAGGCTAAGACTAAAAATCGGCTAAGCCTCAATATTTTATAATTTTTTTTTTATCAATTTTGTAAAATTATCTATTTTTTATTAAATGAGGTTTTTTTAAAAAAATTTTTTAATAATATTTATATTAAACTTTTTTGATGTTATTTTATATAATCTTTTTAATGATAATATTTTAATGTGACAATTGTCATAATCGTTATTTTTAAAGTTTTTTGATTATTTTTGACGAAAATAGAATAAAATAAGTATTGATAACGTCTATAAATAAAATTTAGTGAAGATGTACCATAGAAAAGTGACAATTGTCATAATCGTTATTTTTAAAGTTTTTTTTAAATTTTTTTGACGAAAATATAAAAATTTAGTGAAGATGTACCATAGAAATCAATTGTCAAAATCATTATTTTCAAAGTTTTTTGACGAAAATATCAGAGACCTGCAGGCCCGGCCCTAAACCCGGCCCGGGACGTATTTTAAATTTTTTAAATAAACCCGGGCCGGGCCTAAAAAATTTTTTTAAACATATCCGGGCCGGGCCTAAAAAAATTTTTTTTAAATATATCCGGGCAGGGCCTAAGACTGTTAAACCCGGGCCGGGCCTTAATATTTTTTATAAAAATTTTTACATTATGAGTTAATGGTTATAAGATTATATTATATTATAGTTATGATTAATATAATATTGGGTGATGGTTAACACTACCTAACACCCACAGATCGATCTAATTATTAATTTCCTGCAAATTTATTCAAAGTATTAATATATTTTTTTATAATTCATATCTAAATTTTTACAAGATATTTTACCAAAACACAATCAAATAAAGGAATATCTTAAATAAGCCCCAATATTCAAGTATTATTAATATATTTTTTTATAATTCATATCTAAATTTTTAGAATATATTTTACCAAAACAATCAAATAAAGGAATATCACTTCTTGAAGTTTGTAATACCTTTCAAAGCGAAAAAGGAGAAATAAAATTGATTTTACTTAATATAAAGCATTTTTTAATTGAAAAATTTGTTTTACACAAGTATCATTTTATTTCTCTTTTTCCCTGTCTCAAATTCAAGCAATTACGTATGTTGTCAGGGCCAGATCGCAAGATGACGGAAAACTATATAAAAGATTATATTAAATTACAAGAGGCTCAGGAAGTAAATGAAATACCATAGACCAGTCAAATTACGACTGTTGTTAAACAAACTGAATCGTTTTATGACAAATGGGGCGATGGTAATTCTGGTAATATGTCAATACCCGATGATGAATATTATAATTACATAAATAAAAAAATAGATGAAACATTTAAGGTGGATAATTTGTTAGAGTGGTGGGCGGCTCATCAAAGCGAATTTCCAATAGCAAAATTGACAAACCGGGTATTGGCAATTCCTGCTTCTGTGAGCGGAATTTTTCCACTACTGGGAGAATTCTTGAAGAAAGAAGAAGTAATCTTCAAGATATGCTTCTCTTTCTTCATGATAATTTGTGAATTTTTATATCTTTCTTGAGTATAGGGTTTCGTCAATCATGCTGGTTTTTTACTTTGCAAACTGTCAAATATTTATTGCATTTATTATATTTACCTCGAGTCATGAAAGTTTTTAATCCAACATTTTTCATTATCTTTTTTTACAATATTATATATTACAATTATCTTCTTTTGTTAAAAATTTATATTATAAAATAAATTATATTAATATTGTGCAATTAGATTATATTTTCAAAATACTATTTATTATACATGTATTTTTTTAAATAGCGATTTCCCAAAATATTTTCCATTTTTATAAATTAAATATTCGTTTTATTTATTTTAAATGCAATATAAAATATTATATATGCTCAAAATATTATTACCAATTTTATGAATTTTAGTTTTATTTTTATAAATGCAATATAAAATATAGTATATGCTCAAAATATCATTTTTATAAATAACAGTTTTATAATTTTTATAAATTCAATATAATTTTCTCAAAATATTAGCTTTTTACATGTATTTTTTAAATAATAAGCGATAATACTCGCTGAAAAATAAGGTAAAATACCTCATAGGTGAATTTTTGTATACACCAGGTCGAATATAATTTTAAAAAATTCCGAGCCGTGAAATTTTTTTTTAAAAATATCCGGGCAGGGCCTTAAATTTTTAAATCCGGGCCGGGCCGTAAAAAATTTTTTAAAAAAATATGCGGGCCGGGCCGGGCCTAAAAAATTTAAAACAGAGCCGGGCCGTGCAAATGGTACCTCTGCAGGTCTCTGGAAAATGTTAAAATAAGTTAGTGAAGATGTACCAAAGTGACAATTGTCATAATCGTAGTTTTTAAAGTTTTTTGACGTAAATAGGCTAAAATAAGTATTGATAATATGTTAAAATAAAAATTTAGTGAAGATGTATCATAGATAAGGAACACTTTTCATAATCGTTATTTTTAAGTTTTTTGAAGCAAATGGGTTAAGTGCTATAATTAATTTTATAGGTTAAGAAATTAAAATACAAATATTTATTTTTTGTTAAGCTAAAGATAATTTGATTAATAAATAATCAATTATTAACTCGACATTTTTTTTCTATTTTTTCATAAAATTTGATGTAAATATTAATAGATTTTTTTATTAAATTTTTTTAAAGGTGATTTTTATTCATATTATGTGTTGTTTAAGTATTCTTAAATGTGGTTTTTGTAAATAATTAATTTATGAGATAGCAGAAGAGGTGTTATTTGCATGACCATAATTTTTTAAATAAAATTTCGTCCCGGTTCCTTTTTTTAAAAAAAAATTAGGCCTAGCCAAAATTTTTAGTCCTGTATTTTTTAATGTTGTTTTATGTTAAATATGTTATCAATACTTATTTTAGCCTATTTACGTCAAAAAAATTCAAAAAACTTTAAAAACTACGACTATGACAATTGTCACTTATCTATGATACATCTTTACTAAATTTTTATTTAAACATGTTATCAATACTTAGTTTAGCCCATTTACGTCAAAAAAATTTAAAAAACTTTAAAAATAACGATTATGACAATTGTCACTTTTCTACGGTACATCTTCACTAAATTTAATTTAAACATGTTATCAATACTTATTTTAATATTTTTCGTCAAAAAAATTAAAAATTAAGATTATGACAATTGTCACTTATCAATGATACATCTTCACTAAATTTTATTTAAACATGTTATCAATACTTATTTTAACATATTTTCGTCAAAAAAATTTAAAAAACCTTAAAAATAACGATTATGATAATTGTCATTTTTATACGGTACATCTTCACTAAATTTAATTTAAACATGTTATCAATACTTATTTAAACATATTTTCGTCAAAAAAATTCAAAAAACTTTAAAAATAACGATTATGACAATTGTCACTTTTCTATGGTACATCTTCACTAAATTTTTATTTAAACATGTTATCAATACTTATTTTAATCTATTTTCGTTAAAAAAATTTAAAAAAACTTTAAATAACGATTATGACAATTGTCACTTTTTTATGGTACATCTTTACTAAATTTTCATTTAAACATGTTATTAATACCAGGGTTGGGCAGTATCGCGGATATTTGTATCTAAGATACAAGATACTTTTATATCTTGTATCTTTTTTAAAATTTTGTAAAGTATCTTGTATCCAGTATCTAAGATACATATTATTTAAAAGTATTTGTATCTTAATCAACTTTGTATTCAAAAAGATACAGATACTTTAAAAAAAATTATATTGGTTAATTTAAATAGTATTAAAATTTAAAATGATATTGTTTTAAGATTTAAATGAAAAATTTAATCAAAATTTAGATATTTTAAGATAATTTTTGATATATGACGTTGGTCGTCATATAGCAATTTGCTAACAATTAGAACTACCATATTTAAATCGTTTTATATCTGTCTATTTTAAAATTATGGAATAAGAAAATAGAATAATATGATCTTCGTCTTCAGATGATTCTTCAACCGAAAATTATAACAATAAATTTAAACTAAGCATACTTAATGGCAAATTTTTTGAAGTACTTCAAGATGATCATAATAAGGAAATTCATCGTGACTTTGGTATTGACGAAAAAGTTATAGCAACTGTTACAGATAATGGCTCTAACTTTAAGAAAGCTTTCAAGGAGTTTGGATATTCTATGGAAGCTGTAGAGAATGACTTTGACATCAATGATGATGAATGTATAGAATTCGAAATCATTGAAAGTATTATTTAATACTTCTTTAAAATTTATTATGATATTGTAAATTTAGTAAAAAATTTTATTCAAATAAAATTATTTATTTGATTATTTAAGGGTCTAAAGAAGCCTCAATAACATTGCCTCAACACATTCGTTGTTTGTGCCATACGATAAGTCTAATTGCCACAACAGATGTCGAGAGAGATATTAAGGATTCTCCTAACATTTCTAAAATTCATCATCCTGCAATAGCTAAATGTACTAAGCTATGGAATGCAAATAATAGGCAAAACTGCAGAACTTATCAAAGCAGTTTTAGGAAAACAATTAGTTACACCTTGTTGCACTTGATGGAATAGTTTGTATGATAGTCTTCATTAAAATTTAAAGGCGAACTTCCTAAATTATGTCAAAAACTAGAATTTCCTAAATTAAGAGATATTGAAATTCAATATTTAGAAGAATATTGCAATATAATGGTCCCATTGGCTATAGCGATTGACAAAATACAGAGTGAAATCAACTGCTATTATGGAGAATCAGCTCCAATTTTAAATGTCGTTAAAAAAAATTTAATTCAAACCAATCTACAATTTTGCAAACCATTAGCTATTGCCATAGAAAATTATTTAAATAAAAGATTTAAAAATATATATGATTTTGATAACAATTTTAAAAGTGCATTTTTGGCAACTATTTCTCATCCCTATTTTAAAAATCGTTGGATTGATGGTGAAAAAGAAAAAAATACCTTCATGATTTGGTTACATGAAATTTTAATTGTTTTTAAAAATAATATTGAAATTAATACTTCAACAAATCTTCAATTGATGAAGATGATGATTACTTTTGCCTTAAAAGTACCACATCCAATTCTAATAATTCAATAAATGATATTGAAATAGAGGTCCTAAATTATATGAAAGATGACAGGCGGAGTATAAATATGTTAAATAGTTATAAATATATAAAAGAAATATTTATTAAATATAACACAATATTACCCTCCTCAGCCCCCTTTGAAAGATTATTTAGCCTTGCTAATATGGTTAATAGACCAAATCGTCAAAGATTAAGCGATAAATCATTTGAAAAATTAATAATATTAAAAAATAATGCTGATATATAATGCTGATATATAATGCTGATATATAATGCTGATTTATTATTATTTACTAATTATATAATTATTAAATGGAATATCGCATTATCTTTTAATTTGTTATTTTCTACAATTTATTTTAAATATTTTTTTATAAATTTATATTATAAATAAGAAAATAAAGCTTTATACATTTTGATTTTGACTATTTAAAGTTTTTTTAAAAAGTAACTTGTATCTTAGATACTTTTTTTTAAAAAAATACAAGTATCTTGTATCTTATATCTTATTGAAATTTTTCTAAAGTATCTTGTATCTTAAATACAAAATTTAATAAAGTATCTGTATCTGTATCCGAATACAATTTTCTGAAAATTTGCCCAACCCTGATTAATACTTATTTTAATCTATTTTGGTCAAAAAAAATCAGAAAACTTTAAAAATAACGATTATGACAATTGTCACTTTTTTAAGGTAAATCTTCACTAAATTTTATTTAAATATGTTATGAATACTTATTTTAACATATATTCGTCAAAAAAATTCAAAAAACTTTAAAAATAACGATTATGACAATTGTCACATTAAAATATTATCCTTAAAAAAATTATATAAAATAACATCAAAAAAGTTTAATATAAATATTTTTAAAAAATTATTTTAAAAAAACACCTCATTTAATAAAAAATAGATAATTTTACAAAATTGATAAAAAAAAATTATAAAAGATTTCACCTAAAAGATTGTTTTTTTATCTAATAAAATTTACAATATAATTCCTCAATAAAGATTTATTTAAAAAGAAGATTGTGAAAATCACTAATATATTATATTAAAAAGAATATTACATTTTTACAATAGCAGGATATTATTTTTTTTTATTAAAAAACATTAAATAAATAAATTTATTTTCATTTCAAAATAAAACAATATAAATAAAAAATATTAAATCATATCATGTTTATTTGTTGATAATAATAAAATATAAAAATAAATTATTTTACTAAAATAAATAAATAATAATTAATGCTAGGCATCGATGCAGAATTTTTGACTAATTTATTTTAGCCAATTTTTAGGCTTAGCCGATATATTCACCTAAAATCTCGGCTAAGCCGTTTTATAGTCGGCTAAAATTAGCCGATTACGCAACACTAGATCTAGGCAAGTATATTAATGTAGACTATACTATTGTTTTTTTATTCATTCTATGTTAATAAGCAGAATCTAGTATAAACCTAAATTAGGCAAGATAAGATTTTTAAAAAAAGGAAAAGCGAAAAGAAGAATAAGAGAAAATACAATAACAAAGAGATAAAAATCGTCGCGTGTGTTAATTAATTTTGTGACCACATATTGAATCCTCTAATGAAAAGTTATCACTATGGCCTGTGGCCACTATCTTCTTTTTATTGAAAAGTGTGTATTTACAAACATTATGAAACCATAAATATTTTAGCATTCATGTCAAACCCACTTCCTTTTGAAAGGTGGTATGGAAACTGGGATATTCAACATAACCTAACCTTATATGAGAATTTTGTCCAGCCATTCTATATTGTAAATTACGGAGAAGAAACATTTTTTCTTCCACAGACCGCAAATTGTTTAATTTCAATAAGATCGTTTTTCTAAATTGATAATCACCATTTATATACACATCTCGTAGATATTATAATTATAAACTTATAGTGATTGAGAACAGGTCTAACAAGATCGAACAAGATCATATCCAATTATGACCAAAATAAACCTACCATAAATAAGATGTATATAATGATTAAATGAGACTTAGAAATGATGAAAACTGTTTTAAAAAATCCTCAGAATATTATTTATCTGTTAAATTATTCGTCGACATTTTGCAATTGATGCTGAGACATTTGTTAAATCGCTTGCACATACATTCTATCTTCTCATATAATTAAGATCTAAGGTTAAAAAAAGGGCACTTAAATTTAAAGCTAACTTAGTACATGTAGTTTAAAATCATGCAACATCCCATATAATCCAATATATTTATATTAACTTCAATAGATGTAGGGTCTACGAGCAGGAGCGAGGGTTCCGTCCCACTACCGGCTACTGTGGCGGCCTTTTCGGCTAACCAAGTCTCGATTTCATCAGCATCGCGGCTAAACTGTTGTAGGGTGCGGCATTCGTTCAACTCGGCCCGCTTGTGGATCAGGGCTCGTTTAAGTGAGGCCCAGCGATTGAGTACATCGCGACGGCGCCTATCTACCGCGGGACCATCATAGTGGCCAAGTGAAACAAGATGGTCAGCAAAGTGCTCCAGGTTAGCCATCTTTTCTTCCTGTTAACATAAAAAGGACAATGAACATTAAAATATTACTTTTTAATTTTATCATTGGTTCCTTTTAGTTTATCCCCTTACAATTTTTTATTTCATTTACTCCATTCATTTAACTTCCTTTAAAATCTCTCCAGATTACAACAAACCTGGACGTTGATAGCCTTGTCAAAATCTTCGTGCTTCTTAATTAGTGATTCGACAGCGTCGGCCATGTTGGCGTCCTCTTCCGCGGCGGAGGTAGTGGATGACTTGAGGAAAGTCTCACGCGATGTCATCCAATTCTCGGCAAGCTCGCAGTCGCGGAAAAAAAGCTGACTCTCCAGGCATTGGTCTAAAATCTGACGTTTTTTAAGCCATTCCCTGTGAATCAAATGATAATTAGCATAAGAATAAAATTAGATTGAAAAATCAATAAATTGAATTAGAACCTATGTATAACATATTTCACTTTTAATAGTTATTAAAAAAAATAGTACTTCTTAAAAACAAAAATAAGATGACGGGAATATAACTGTTTAAAATATACACATTTATAGGAATGTTAAATAACTGTTCAAGAGTTTTGCGAGATCCCTCAAGACTTCTGAGGGCGCTCTCGATGGAGGGTGATTCATAATGGGAGCGGTGGAGCAGTTTGTTACCGAAAACATTGTAAGCGTCGAAAGCAGGCTGTCTGGCCTCTATTTGGTTCCTGTAATCCTGTTAAGTAATAAAGTTGATATTTGAGATGAGATTTATATTATATTCAGAGGGTAAGAAAATAGGAGGTTCAAAATTTGAGTGATTTCACGTCTATATCAAAAAATTGATAAAAATTATAATATCACTCTTAAAAATATTAAGATTCAAAATTAAATACTAAAATCCATGAGTACGATTAGATTTCAAGCTAACGAAATTATAATCTCATAGATCTTAATCCTTTTATTCATTTTTCTTTGAAAATCCGGTACTGTTTGGGATTAAAATGTAGCTACTACTATTGATTGCTAACATTAGGAGATAAATTTATTTTATTATTTTTTTAAGAAAGTCCTAAACTAACCATATGTTTTTCAAGCAACATTTCGGCGGCTGTCACGTCATTGACAGGTTCAAACGCGGAAAATTGATTCTTCATGTGGTTGATCCATGAATTAAGATCGCTTTAAAAAAATATGATAGAATAAAATACATATCAAGTTTTTTTTAAATGACTGGTGTGATATTTTATTAACACCTAAATTGTAAAATCTATTATAATTAGTGTTGCGTACTTAATTTTAGCCGACTATAAAACGGCTTAGCCGAGATTTTAGGTAAATAAATTGGCTAAGCCAAATTAAGCTAAGTCTAAAAATCGGCTAAGCCTAAAAATCGGTTAAGCCTAAAAATGGGCTATGCCTAAAAATTGGCTAAGCCTAAAAATTGGCTAAGCCTAAAAATTGGCTAAGCCTAAAAATTGGCTAAGCCTAAAAATTGGCTAAGCCTAAAAATTGGCTATAATAAAGTCAAAAATTCTGCATCGATGCCTAGCATTAATTATTTTTATTTATTTTAGTAAAATAATTTATTTTATTTAATGTAAATATTTTATTAAAATCAACAAATAAACATATGATTGAATATTTTTTATTTATATTGTTATATTTTGAAATGAAAATAATTTATTAGTGATTTTCACAATCTTCTTTGTAAATACATCTTTTATTGAGAAATTATATTGTAAATTTTATTAGATAAAAAAACAATCTTTTAGGTGAAATCTTTTTTAATTACTTTTTATCTATTTTTTTTTAAATGAGGTGTTTTTTTAAAAAAATATTTATATTAAACTTTTTTGATGTTATTTTATATGATCTTTTTAAGGATAATATTTTAATGTGACAATTGTCATAATCGTTATTTTCAAAGTTTTTTGAATTTTTTTGACGAAAATATGTAAAAATAATTATTGATAACATGTTTAAATAAAATTTAGTGAAGATGTACCGTAGAAAAGTGACAATTGTTATAATCGTTATTTTTAAAGTTTTTTGATTATTTTTGACGAAAATAGATTAAAATAAGTATTGATAACATGTTTAAAATTTAGTTAAGATGTACCGTAGAAAAGTGACAATTGTCATAATCGTTATTTTTAAAGTTTTTTGAATTTCTTTGACGAAAATAGATTAAAATAAGTATTGATAACATGTTTATATAAAAATTTAGTGAAGATGTACCATAGAAAAGTGACAATTGTCATAATCGTTATTTTTAAAGTTTTTTGAATTTTTTTGACGAAAATATGTTTAAATACGTATTGATAACATGTTTAAATTAAATTTAGTGAAGATGTACCGTAAAAAAGTGACAATTGTCATAATCGTTATTTTTAAAGTCTATTTAATTTTTTTGATGAAAATATGTTAAAATAAGTATTGATAACATGTTTAAATAAAATTTAGTGAAGATGGACCATAGATAAATGACAATTGTCATAATCGTAGTTTTTAAAGTTTTTTGACGTAAATAGGCTAAAATAAGTATTGATAACATATTTAACATAAAACAACAATAAAAAAATGCAGGACGGGCCGGCACTGAATATATAAAGTACGGACTAAAAATCCTGGCCAGGCCTAATTATTTTTAAAAAAAGGAGCCGGGAAGAAATTTTATTTTAAAAATTAGGGTCATGCAAATAACACCTCTACTGCTACCTCATAAATTGATTATTTACAAAAACCACATTTAAAAATTCATAAACAACACTTAATATGAATAAAAATCACCTTTAAGAATATTTAATAAAAAAAATTTATTAATATTTACATCAAACTTTATGGAAAAATAAAAATGTCGAGGATTATTTATCAATCAAATTATCTTTAACTTAAAAAAAAAATATTTGTATTTTAATTTCTTAACCTATAAAATTAATTATAGCACTAATTTTAACCCATTTTCTTCAAAAAATTTTAAAAATAACGATTATGACAATTGTCGATTATCTAGAGTACATCTTCACTAAATTTTATTTAAACATCTTATCAATACTTATTTTAGCCTATTTACGTCAAAAAAATTCAAAAAACTTTAAAATCTACGATTATGACAATTGTCACCTATATATGGTACATCTTTACTAAATTTTATTTAAACATGTTATCAATACTTATTTTAATCTATTTTCGTCAAAAAAAATTAAAAAACTTTAAAAATAACGATTATGACAATTGTCACTTTTCCACGGTACATCTTCACTAAATTTTATTTAAACATGTTATCAACACTTATTTTAATCTATTTTCGTCAAAAAAATCTAAAAATTTTAAAAATAACGATTATGACCATTGTCACTTTTCTATGGTACATCTTCACTAAATTTTATTTAAACATGTTATCAATACTTATTTTAATCTATTTTCGTCAAAAAAAATCAAAAAACTTTAAAAATAACGATTATATGACAATTGTCAAATTAAAATATTATCCTTAAAAAGATCATATAAAATAACATCAAAAAAGTTTAATATAAATATTTTTTAAAAATTATTTTAAAAAAAACATCTCATTTAATAAAAAATAGATAATTTTACAAAATTGATAAAAAAAAAAATTATAAAAGATTTCACCTAAAAGATTGTTTTTTTATCTAATAAAATTTACAATATAATTCCTCAATAAAAGATGTATTTACAAAGAAGATTGTGAAAATCACTAATATATTATATTAAAAAGGATATTACATTTTTACAATAGCAGCATATTATTTTTTTTATTAAACAAAATATAACAATATAAATAAAATATATTAAATCATATCATGTTTATTTGTTGATAATAATAAAATATTTACATTAAATATAAATAAAATAAATTGTTTTACTAAAATAAATAAATAATAATTAATACTAGCATCGATGCAGAATTTTTGACTAATTTATTTTAGTCAATTTTTAGGCTTAGCCGATTTTTAGGCTTAGGCGTAGTTTTTAGCCGATTACGTAACACTAATTATAATAATCTTCAAAAAACGTCAATCAAATATAGCCAATAATATTTTTTTTAAAAATATTTCGCCAATAGTTTTCTTTTAAATATTTGTCCAATGATAATCATAATAGCAAATTTAAGCCAATAATAATTCTACCACATAACGACATAAAATCCAAATAAGCAGCTGCATTTTTGACCATTTAAGAAGTAAAAATTTTATCAAAGGTAACAAATAATAATATATAATCATCTTATTTATATCTAGATTATAACTTGCCAACTTTACAATAAATAAATGGGTTGCTTCTAATGAGTTTAACAATGAAAAAGAATTTCCAAATAAACAGTTGCATTATTGACCATTTAAGAAGTAAAAACCACTGCCATATCCATATCCATATCCTTTTATTTTACATTTTTTATATAAACGTTTATAATATTTAATTTCGATAACCTACCTTTCATATAATAAAAAATTAATAGCTTATCTATATATTAGATTTTAATTCAATAATAATCTAAGTCTTTGTCTATATTAAGCATTTTGATCAAATTTAATAAATTTTATTTTATGTTTTTAAAAATATAGGGGTGATTTGAACCAAATTGATTTTAACTATTAAAATATTAAAGGATTTTCTATATATTAAATTTTAATTCTATAATAATCTAAGTCTTTGTCTATATTAAGCATTTTGATCAAATTTAATAAATAAAATTTTATTTGATATTTTTAAAAATATCGGGGTGATTTAAATCAAAATGATTTTAACTTGCCAACTTTACAAAAAATAAATGGGTTGCTTTTAATGAGTTTAACAATGAAAAAGGATATATATTCACTATGTCTTAATGTTAAATTCAATTCAAATCCAAATAAACAGATGCATTTTTGACCATTTACGAAGTAAAAATTACTGCCATATCCATATATGAAATAATATTTCACTTTTATTTTACATTTTTTATATAAACGTTTATAATATTTAGTTTCTATTAAATTGTATGTATAAATTTTAGCAGGCCTCAGACTTATTTTATTTATGAAAGTACTAAATTGTAATTACAATTTATATGATTTATTTTAGATAGATATTCCTGCACAACAATCATTGGTACAAGAACATTATTGTGGTTTGCTCAACACTAAGTGCCAATGTTATGATTAAATTTTTCTTTTCAAGCGTAAAGTTAAGATACCATCAATCAGATATATCCCTTTTTTAGAAGACTTTTTATCAAATCCTAACAATGAATTTCATTCACATCTATCATTGAATAAAGGAGAAAATTCTAATTCCTCGTCATTTTTGACGGGATAACAGCTAGTATCATAATAATTACTAATACCTTGGCGGAATGAATACAGGAAGAGCATGCTCCAAAATAAGCCATTTTATATATACATATAAAATAAATACTTTTGCTGCACGTAAACAAATAGTAAGAACGTTGTTGAAATATTAAAGCGGAAAAAAAGATAAATAGAAGAAATATTATTATTTTCTTCTATTTAAAATATATCGAAAGTATTCGATGACACTAATTGTAAGTAAGTAAATATAGTTAATATATGGAGGGGGGGGGGGCAAGACAAAAGGAAAGAAAATTTTATGAGTAATCAATGCTGTTGAAATTTAGAGTTTAAAGGTTTGTGAAATGGGAAAGTAGGGTATAAGGAAAGAAAGGAAAAATCACTTGTATTCATCTAAGAATTTGTGAAAATCGTAGGAATCCTGGAGTTTTGTGTCATGATCAGAGGCTTTGCGAGTCAGTGTGTTCCAGGCACTGTTGATGCCGCCCATTTGGGCCGTAATCTCGTCCACATTCTCCGGGTGACTTTTGATCAATCTCAGTGAGGTGTCCTCCAAATGGTTAATCTTTGAATAAATGATAATATAATCAAATATTTTATCCTGTGGTGCTAGAGCGGAACTGTATTCGTAAAAATAAAAAGTCCTTTTTTTCTCGTTTAAGATAAAATCTTTATTAAATTTTAAAGTGCAGGTTAGAAAAAATATAAAAAAGAATTGTTTCGATATATTTTCTTTTGGCTAAGCGGATTTTAAAAAACGAATAAGAAATATAAAATATAAAATAGGTAGAAAGCATTCCTTATATTTATATCAATTCCTATTTATGTATAGATTAAACCAATCAACCCATAAACACGTTTAGCGTAAAATCTGTCTTTTCATTCTAATTTTGTAATTTCTACTAAAACTCTGCAAGCTATTCAAATATTGTATTGGGCTACTCGTTCTCCTAGCGCGTTGAGATCCCTTGAAAACCCTTCTTGCTTTTTCTGAAGCCCTTTTACGGAAGAGAGATCGGTGCCATAATCCTCGTTGTCCAAAATCTCCATTTTTTCTTCTATCCACTCCAAAGTGTCGTTTGTGTCCCTATATTATAAGTTAAAATTTAAAGTCAGCTTTGGATATTGGATAAAATATAAAAGAAGTTATCAAACGGCCTAAATAAAATTTTAGTTAATATATCTCTAATTGGCTACTATTTAATTAATATGTTAACAAATTAAACCTGTGGAATCTTTGGACCTCGTGAGCAGTCCTCAATACCTCGGATCTTTCGTTGGTAGCTTGCTTCATTTGTTCCCATTTAGTGTTCAAATCCTACCATTTTAATAACGATTGCGAAAAGAGATTATTGGAATATTCGAAAACAAATGAAATATATATAATATATAAACAATATTAAATATAAATATAATTTTATCTTGGGTATGGCTAATTTATTCGCGAGGAAATATTTTTTATAGAATTAGCATGGGCGTAATGTAGTGTGTCAACCGGCTCGATATGAGTGGATTTTTAAAAACGGCTAACTCAATATTTTAGCCAGGAAATGATTGCTTAAGCCTAAGAATTTAGCTAATAAATCTCCAAACCTTTGCCATCTATGAGAAAAATCTTTAGGCTTGTGTAACATTTTTCTGGAAAAAATATTGAGTTAATCTTTTTTAAAAATCCATATCGAGCCTTTCAGCAACACTATATGGGCCGCCAATTTTTTTATATTATAAAATAAATTAAAAACTAATAGACTTCAAAACAATGAATTGAAATATGATTAATTAATTATTCGATAATATTTCTTCATTAGTATAGAGGATTCTGCGTTGTTTTCGAACAGAAACCCCTATTGTGAAAGCACAAAATACGTAAACAACATTTAATAAAAATATATTTTCTACTCATTCAATTCGAACACCATATAAATAAAATGTCAATACCCCTATTTTTACCGCTCTTTCGAACAAATTCTCAAAAACGAACATTTAATAAAAAAATAATTTTTTACATTTAAACTTAATTTATTCATTAAAAGTCAGCGGAATATTAAAAAATATTAATTTATTTACTTAAAATAATTTCGTGCATATAAAAATATATTCATAAAATAATCGAAATAATTTTAAAAAAATCATTTATAGCTAAATAATATATATATATTACATATGAAATTTTTTTTAATCATTATTTTAATAATTTTTGAACTCTTGCCTAAGCAAAGATTATTCCTTCAATTTAATAACTAATTTTCTTTTTTCATCATTCATTTTAAAAAATATTTATAATAAGTAAATATTCATCAATAAGATATGTTCCTTTCAAGTTCTAGATCCACATGCGATTTACATTTTTTAATAATTTTTTTATATCAATGAACAAATTTTCTTTTAGTGTTTTTAAGATGACATGATGATGGTATTTTTAGAAAATAAAAGTATTTAATGCCATTCTTTTAAACCTCCTTCACTAGAAGAATTTGATTCTATATTATTTTCTAAATCCTATAAGAATCACAACTTTCTTTTTATTCAAAAATAAGTTTATAGATATCTTTCTCCTTTTTTTTTAAATAAAATAAAACTTACTTTATATAATATTTTTATGCGACAACAATTGATGCACAAAATTATTTTAAGTAAATCAAATGTATTTAGAAATTTTAAAAATAATTTTATAGATATTCTGCTGACTTTTAATGAATAAATATGTTTAATGTTTAAAAAATTTTTTTTAATAAAAGCTAGTTTTAAATGAGAATTTGTTCGAAAGAACGGTAAAAATAGGGGTAATGACATTTTGTTATTTTTTTGTATAATTCCAATGAATTACATTTTTATTTTATTTACATTTCTGAATATATTTATATTTAAAAAAAATGATAAAACACTAAAAAATTAAAATATGCATAAAAATATATAAAATTACTATAAAAATAAATATATAATATAAGTATCGGAGGTTCTAAAAAGAGGTTAATTTAATAATGAATATGTACCTAAAAAACAAGTATAATTGTGTTTAAAAATTTATAGTTGAAGTTTTTGTTTAAGAGATATGGATTAGCGATTTTCGTTTGTTATAAATTTTCCGCGATAAAATTTTTTAAAAAAATATGTAGACTGGGAAAAATTGCTGTTAGTTGATATGACTATTGGCTAATATATAGTTATTTAATTTTGAATATTAATTAATTTTTCCCGCAATTAAAGGGGTTTGAATTAATTGATGAAGGAAAGGAGGAGACGCAGGTTGCGTCCCAAATAAGGGATTTCCCGTTGGACCAGGGGTACAGGTTAAACCGTCAGGTCTGAGGCCGTCCTGTAATGAAAGGTTGGTTGGTTCGATGATGTTGGGTATTTTAGCCTTATTAAAAGCGTTATGGATAATTTTAATTGCTTTATGCCGGAGATGGCGACCTTGTCTGTGGGTGCAATTTAGGTCATGTCGGGCGTTAGGTAGAACGGGCAAGTTGCATTGAGAACAAAATATAAAAAATGTTGTTTACGTATTTTCTTGCTCTCGTAATAAGAGTTTCTGTTTGAAAAGAACAACAAACCCTGTATCTTTAACAATTTAAAACACGCATATCCTTTTCCATTTTTTTAATTTATTCCCCAATTTCATCTTACATCCCCATTGAGCCAACCTGAACTTGTGATTTAATATTGGCGGCAGCTTCGGCTTGGCCCATGCCTTGAAGCTTGGAAGCAACCTCGTTCATTTCAATCAGCCGTATCTCGTTGGCTTTCATATCCTATTCACGTGTATTTTTGTTAAATGACATAATAAATATGTGTAAATTATAAATTTATAGGATTACGAGAAAACCTTGTAGTTAGCCTAAATAAGCAATATATTTTTTATAAAAGGTAATTTTGTAAGGAAATGTACTTTTTGAAAATCATCGAACCGTTTTTGGAGGACCTCAACTTGTTCCAGGTCCTCTCCGACCTCGCGGGCGGCGGCCGTGACCTCTTGCCTTGATATCCAATCCGATAAAGTGGCCGCTTCGCGCACCACGCGAAATGCCTCTAAGGCTCTCTCGAGTCCCGCCCGACGATCGCTAGCTAGATTCATGAGCTCGTTGTATCTGTATGAATTAAAAATTTAAGAGGAAAGAATTTTTTTTTATAGCAAACTGTTGATATTCTACATTAATATATTTATGGTCTAGTTATGTTGAACATCAATTTTTATTTAAATCATATTATAATTACATTGTATTATATCAAAAAAATATTTTAATTAAATTACATTATGTTTCTTAAGGGTAAATCCAAAAATACGATAATTTAATATGTAATTTAATGCTCCTAAGATCGGGATAATATTTGATCTCTCAAATTTTTAATGTTGAGCACTTTATGAACCAAAAGTTTAATTAATCAACTAAAACTAACCAGAGCAAAAACGATGGCAACTTCTTATAATATTCTTAATAATAATATATTCAAGCAAAAAATTAGCGCCCCGAATATAATATTATATACAATACTAAATGTTTAGAAATGTATGATTTTATTTATTACTGTTGTTCGATCTGTTTCTCCCTGATAGCTATGATGTCCTGGTCACCAAGAGCTGAACCATCTCCAACACCGCTCTTGGGCAGGTTCGAATCTATCTTTTTGACATAGCCAGCAGGCACGAATCCTTGTCTGTCGTTAATTTCCACTTTCCACCAATCCTGAATTCACAAAATTTAAAAGTATGCGAAAATAGGTGAAATATTTTTAAATGATAAAATATTCGCATTTTATCGCCTAATTAGATTTAAAATAAGTATAATTTGCAGGAAAGAAATAAGGTATAATATTTTTAGAAAATATCTCCAAAAATATATAATATATAGGTAGACAGGAATATTTCCATAAGGTGACAACAAATTTACCTGATATTACAAATTGTATCACACAATATAAAATTATGATTGGTGGTTATTTTACTCATAACTTCCCCTATTCTAATTAAGTCCATATCTAAACAATTAGTGTTAATGTGAGTTTTTCCAACATCCCTGATATTTTATATTCAGCCTAGTAAATTTTTGGCCTGGTTTTTTCTTATCAAAGTTTCATTTCTATAAAATAGTTTATAAGATATAAATATTTTTTTGACTGATTGTTCGTAAATGCCAACGCTCATTAAAACTAACTAAATAAATATATTTTGCAAAAATTGTAAAACAGTATCACGTTTAAATCAGTTTTTTTATATGTAAAATGTTTAATAATAAATTGTGGCGATTTACCGATATTTAAAATTGAATACATGGGTTTTCTTGATTTTTTATGTGAAAATTATAAATTATATATAGTTATCCTTTTAGTTATTTTTAGAAAAACTATAATTTTATAAAAATTATAAATTGTTGTTTTAAAAATAAGAGTTTCATTAATCCCATTCATGAAATTTTTTCCCCAACGGAGTTGAGATTGTAAATGCAATACAACAAATAAAGTTAATCTGTTTTGTAATTTAGTATATTGGCGACGAAGGATTCTCTTATTATGAACAAAGAAGAAAAACCAACTACTGTAATTGGTAAAAGTGATGAATCCAACATTCTAATTAAAAAGAGTGAATAAAGTAAATTTTAAGTGAAACGGACAATGGTAATCGATCTAAAAAGATTTGAAGCAATAAATATAAATAACTCAAGCAAAATTTGATAAACAACACAATATTCAAGACTATATTGAATATATAGATGATGTTTTGGAGATAAGGGGATTATTGGTGGATAAGGAAACCAAGAAAAAAATATTATTTGCATACATGGGGATTAGTAATTTGGCAGAGATGAGGTCATTTATATACCTAAGAATTTTCTAGGGAACTAAATTATGATGAAATAGTAGAAATAGGTAAGGCAGTTTTTAGACCCACTAGAACTCTATTTAGTTCTAGAATTAAGTTGATTCAAATAGAAAGCGGGGAATGTGAAACAGTTGCTCAATTTTCAGGGCGGCTTAAAATGACACAAGTGTATAAATTTGAATCAGACCTGGGTGAGAGATTAAGAGATCAGATGGTGGCAGGAATAAAAATGGCAGCATTGAAGAAAGATATTCGCACCAGATTTCCAGATGGAATAAATGACTTGGGATAAAAGGTGAGTTTTCAACAAGTTTTAAATATGGCTTTGGCAATGGAAATAGGTGAGAATGAAGTTACAAAAATGTTAATTAACCTAAGTGTTGTAACTATAAAAAATAAATATATATATTTTCTTAAATTTTTAAAATTATTTATTATACGTGAAAATTTTTTTACTTTTAGTTCTTTATAAATGTTGAAAAAAAATAAAGAAATTGTATTTAAACTAAATTTAAGGAATATATCAATTAAAAAGGAAACAAACTAAAATAAATAGAAATATATTAATGGTGCCTGTTAAACCAGGATTTTTCGTACCTGTATAAGTGCGGTTATTATAAAAAAAGAAAAATATTTTTTTAATTCATTCTGTGACAAGTTCACATCTTAGAAGAAAACAAATCAGAAGAGAATTAAATTCTAGGACAGTTACTATAGATTATTCTCATTAGGATATACAGTTGATGAAAGAGACAACGTCTACAACAATGATCAGGGCGCTAAGGAAATTCTTCGTATATTTTGGAACGTCAAGACAAATTGTGTCAGATAATGGCCTTCAGTCGGGAGAATTTCGAAGATTCTGTTTAGAGAAAAATATTAAATAAATACATTAAACACTTTACCATCCCAAAACAAATGGGTTAGTTGAAAGAACAATACGAACAATTAAGAGTAGATATTTAGCCACTTGAAAGATATTAAGGAGCTAGAGAAAGTTATGGGAGAGGTTTTAACAGCATACAGAATAGACTAGCATCAATCAACTGGACCATTTACAAATTTATTGGGGACGTAATCTAAAAACTGGATTAGATTGGTTACATCCAAATGTTAAGGATGAAATGGAACAATCTAATATGTGACAAAAGGCAGCTGATGATAAACACATTCAAGTGAGGGAATTCAAGGTTTCATAATTTGTATGAGTATACAATGAAATCAATTCAGGATGGAGAGAGGGAATTATAAAATCCAGAAGTGGTAAATATTCCTATTCGGTATAGAAAGTAAAGATAGAATGATACGAAAGCATGCTGATCAAATGCTAAAAAGGGATGTAGGGAAAGAAATGGAGAAGTCAGGAGGAATAAAATATTGGAGTGGGAAATAGTTGACAATTTGGAAAATATAGAAGGACCACCTATAGAGGGAGAAAACTGCGAAACGGAAAAGACTGATGAAAATTCGGGTCCACATGATATATCTTCATTACCTCGAGAACTAGACGAGAACTAGAAACAACAATGAGGCAGAAATCACAATGATCGAGGAGACCTACACATCGTTTGATTGAGGAGTTTTAAAATCTTAAGTGTGGGGAAATGTTATAAATGCTATATAAGATATTATTATATTTCATATATTTTATATTAGTTTATTTGGATTATATTATCATGATTATCATATATATGATTGACGTCTATAATGTGTTTCCAGTGGATGCAAGAAATAAAGTTAACTTGTTTTGTAATTTAGTATATATAAGCGAATGCAGTGGGAGAATGTTAATGGATTATTCTCAACTCAAAAAAATATCAAATAATTAGAAAACAACTCCAAATGTTGTTATTTTGTTATATTACTCCCCCCCCCCTTTCAAATTTATCTTTTACCATAATTACCTTATGGCCGCTATTCAAAAGTGTTAGGATATCGCCTTTCTTCATGCTCACCTCTCGGGGACTTCGCTCGGAGTAATCGAAGAGAGCTTGGACGGATTCCTTGCCCGAAACCACATCTAGGTTTGGGTGGAGCTGATGTTGCTGCAGCTGCGATTGCTTGCTGGCCTTGCAGGCCTGGGCTACCGACTGCAACTGACGGACCGTGGGATAGAAGGCTTCCAAGTCTGAGGTGAGTAAGTTGTGGCGTTTCAATAAGACCTGTAAAGATATAAATGTTTGATGGAGGATAATATTGCAAAAGGGTTTATTTTAAATATACCTCTGCCATGTCTTCATCCTTGCCATAATCACGGCTCTCGACCAATGGCTTTTTCTCTCGCATCCAACATTCAGCCTCGGTCGCATCCGCTAAAAACTGATGAACTTGGAGAGCAGCTTGCAGGTCTTGGTCGCGGGCCTGAGCCCGATCCTTGAGTCTGTTCCATCTCTCCGCTAACCTGGCTAAACGAACCTTTATCTCAGGTGTTGCAAAGTGGCCTGATGTGGGTGTTTATTGTTGTTGGGGAGGGGAAGTATAATATAAATATTAATGATAAATTTTTTAAAAAACTTATAAATTTAAGGGGTCAAATTTTTATTTATAAATATCCTCAATTTTTTTTTCACATTTTCAGTTTCTTGTCAAATAGATCTATAATTTGCATCTTACTCTATTTCTTCCTCATTTCTGTTCCCTGTTCTAGCTACAATTATTATTTAATATCAAATCAAAAAAACAAATGTTATCAAAAATCACCATCTTTGATCATTTTATTGCCCTGTTCGATGAGTGAAACAATGTTGGGTTCCCTAGTTTCGAGCTCAGACACCAAAAGAGCATGCTTTTTAATCAAATTCTGGCATCCAATCGCATCCTTGCCTATTTTGCAAACGAAAAAATACCAAAATTTTAAAGGTATTTGTACTCATTGTGTAAATAAAAATCTATCCCTTGTTTAATAATGATTAATATATTATAAATAATCGACGAGGAAAATGAATTAAAATTAGAATCTTATAAATGTATTAATTAAAAAGGCAGTTTAATCTGCATCAGCGAATCATAACCGAAACCTCTGTTCGTGGAATTGACGAGAGGTTCCTTTTCCCTCATCCAAACCTCTTCGTCCTCTATGTCCTTAAAGAGGGTCAAACACCTTTCGGCCTGTTTCAATTTAGTCTTTTTGCTCTCGATAGGTTCAGTTAACCGTTTGTACCGGTCCGCTATCCCTTCCAACTTGGTCACCATCTGTTTACTGCCCAGAAGAGGAGATGGCGTCGAGCGAATCTGGTCCACGTCATCTATAAACGATATTATGAAAATAATACCTTTTTCAGCTTTCTTTTTTCCCTATTTCACTGTTTTATAGTATATAATCGCGAGGATCTATATATTTTTGGGCCCCCAGAAAAGGAAAACAAAAGTTAGTTTTTATTATCCCAAATACTTGGCAATAAACATAAATCAATAAAAGTTTTCTTTCGTTTTTTATATATCATTCCATTTATTAAAATTATTAAAATTAAACCTTGAGAAAAGACGGCACCTTCCAAGCCTTGAACCGAGATGGGTACAGTGGAGAGTTGCTCAATTTTGTCAGCGTGAGACGCTATTTCGTCTTCTAAACGGTTCAGTTTTTTCTTCATATGTTCCAGGCTTTTCAAATCCTTTTTTTAAGATAGAAATATATTTCAAATTTCCATGTCAGACTTGATAAAAATGTAAGAGTTAAAAAAAATTGTTATGGACTAAAACTTTTCCATGGTCGTCGGACCCTATTTCGTTTTCAATATCGTTCATCCAGAGCTCCATATCGTCGATGTCACGCGAATACTGCAGCTGTTGCCGTAACTGTTTGAGATGTTCGCCTTTGGCTTCCGAAGCGTCGACCAGCTGTTCCCACATTGCCTTGATCTCGTCCACATTTTTCCTTTTGGTATTTTTAGATTAGATAATTTATCGTGATAAATTCTTAATTTCCTCACCTTACTGAGTTAATCTCAAACTCATCAATGCAATTATATTCATAATATCCAGTTAAGGAAGGCATACATTATAATCAAAATTTAACACAAAAATATAATCGTATTAAAACTGTTAGTAAAAAAAACAATAATTTTAAACTAACTCGATGTTGGGAAAAGGTAATTGTAAACTGGAGCTCATGGCTATGCCGTGATGTATGAGCGCATCTATCCTGGGCTTATTGGCTAGGAGTTCAGCCTCGAAATTTTCGTGTTTTTGCATTTTGCCAGGTAAATTTGTGGGATCCTTTAAAAAATATAGATACCGTTTTTTTAATAAGGTGAAAACTACCAGAGTGCAGTCACTCAATTCCAGTTACTATTTGGTAAACATGAGATAGTAGTAATATAGAGTATTATGATTTTGGCAAGAGGGAATGGTGGTCTAAATATATATTTATAAATGTGTGCAATATTTTTCTTTTCCTAAATTAGAAAGCTTCCTTCCTATCGATCATATTATGGGGGTGTATTTAAATTAGTGATCTGAGGCCTAATATTTCAAGCCCGGCCCGAAATATTTTTAAAAAAGTTTTGCCAACCTTACCCGAATTTATTTAAATATAGAAATTAATTATTTTAAATTATAATTTAAATTTTTTTAAAATTATTATACCCAAAATAAAGTTTCTACAAATAAAATTAAATATTTTTATTTTACATAAAAATTCAATATAAAATTGATAAATTTAGATATATTTTTAAAAAAATGCCAAGGCCCGACCGGACCCGATTTTTTAAAAAAATAAAGCCCGATCCAGCACAAACCCGATTTTTTTTAAAAAAATAGGGCCTACTAAATTTTACAGAAATGTTATCTTATTCATTTTATTTTTAAGCAATTAAGAAAGTATCGGATTTGTTAAAACTAATACTCCCATAAAATTTATAATATTATGAACAGGTTTTACTAACATTTTAAATAATTTTAATATATCATATCCAATTTATCCTGATATGTTTAAAAATACTTGGTGGATTGATATTGAAAGATAATAAAAAAAACCATATCCTTGCATATTTTGTAATATATGTTTAAAAATAGCATTAGAGAAAGGGGAAGATAAAAATTTAAACGATTCATTTTTACGATTCATTTTTAGAGTCAATATATTTTATTTTGTAATTTTTATAATATTTCATAATCTTCAAATATAAATATATTCTATAATCTTTTTCATTTATATTCTCCTCTAACCTGTCCTAACCCTAACCCTACTACTAATCTCACGAAACAAGCTTAGAATCCAAATAACTTGCATGAAGAAGTTGGTGAAAAATCCAAACAAAATTTGAGAAAAATTCGACTAATGAACCCAAACGAGATAAAAAGTAGTTATTAGGAAAAAAATTATGTTCTTATGTGCTACAAGCCCTCCAGTGAGCCTGTTTTTCTGTAGCTGGGTTAATCTTAAACTAAAGATCCTCACTATGTCTTTCCAATATAAATAAAATAATTTTTATAGATAACTATAATTTTATGAATGTAATTCAATGTATCGATCATATTGGTATTAGAAAAATAAACTATATATCAAAATTGGATGTTTTAAATAAATCATTATTCATTAAAAAAATTTAAAAATTAAGTAAGAGAAATCTAAAATAGTATAAAAAATTCGGCGTGCCGAACTTTAGCAGATATAAACGACGGCGTAAAAATTGGCGCGTAGCTGAATGGTTTAAAGTAAAATGCCGAAGCTGGCACAGGTCTAGATTTGACCAAAGCTTGAAACGCAGGGATATATAAATAAAATTTTTATATATCATCGATATTTTTGTTTATTAAAGAGGAAACTTTCATTTAAAATAAGTGAAGGTACATTTTAATCATCTAACAAATATAAATCAAATTTACAATTTGAAAAGATGGGTCCCTCTATAAAATACAAAAAGTATTTTAATAGCACAGCTACATGCGTAGTTAAAGATAATGCACAAAACATTTGAAGATAAGAAATAGTATTTATACATTCTGATAATATGCTTCTCATAATTTAATCTGCTCTGATAAGAAAGTAAAAGTGAAATATTAAAATATATTAAATATTTCGAAATAATCATTTTGCAACTGCTCTATTAAGAAAAATCCAAGTTAGATTAAACAGAAGAAAACAGATAGTGTCTAGGCATATAAGACAATGGCCAATTTTGGAAAATATGTAAAAAAAAATCGATAAAATATTGTTTACCAAAAAGTTATAAATATACAAAATCCTTGGATGTATTTCAAAAATCAACGAGTATATTAGACTGTCTCAAACAATGACTGGCTCAGCGTATTAATGATTAAACATCAACTCAAAACGTTTGTAAAATAATGTTTTCGTCTTATTAAATAAAATCTCCAATCTTGAGTAGCAGAGATCCTAAAATAGAATTACTGCCGGTTATGAAACAGAAATAATATAAATCTTCCTTCAACTCTTTGGTGTAGCAGCTTCGGTATAAAGAATGTTTTCTCCTTTTGGCCTAGGTTAATAAATTAAAAAAGAGGCGTGGACTAGAAAAAACTAGAAAAATGATTTACTTTTTAGATATTTTAATGATAAAATCTTATTTATTAAATTTGTTATTATTGAAATTTACTTTTAAAAAACAATAATAGTTAAAGTATTATTGAGTATTGTTTGTTAGTGTCACAAATATAGGATCAAATAAATTATTGAAAAAGTCTATTATTATTATAAATTAATTTTTATGCTTAATAACCACTAAATAATTTTCATTTATTAAACTGTCAAAATAAATTAAATTAAATTCAAAAGATACTTATAGTAAAATGTCAAATGACTTTGTAAGTGATAAATTTTGATATTTATTATGTTAAATGAAATAAAAATTGATTTAAATCCGTGATTATTATTTTTACATCCATAATCATTCAGATTGGTAATATTATCCACCCAAAAAATCTTCGATACGACTATAAAAGAAATTTTAAAATTAACCAAATAACTAAGGTCCTTGGCTATCTTCAACTTCTCCGAAATCCAGCTCTTAATCTCGTCGCAGTCCCTCAAACACAAGTAATAACGCAGTGCTTCCTCAAGTCTTTCTCTTCTACCGGCTGCCTTTTCCAGTAAATCGTTACGTTTTTCCGAAAGCTTGACGTGTCATTTTTTTAAAAAAAAGTTTTTTTTAAGTGTGATCGAAGTAAATATGGATGAGGTAAAAGTAAGGCAAACTTGTGGGATAGAGTTCGTACCAAAAAAATACATAATTATTTTTTTCAAAAAAAATCAAAATTTATTTTTAATACAAAAACAAACTAAATTTCAAAAAATAAAATCAAAAAATTTTCGATTTTGAATTTAGCCTTTTAATTTAACAATTAATTCAGGTTATTTGTTTTTGACTTGTTGAATGTTACTGGTGCAAAATATTTTTTGGTTCGAGCCCTAATTAAAAATATTTTTGTTTAAAAATATCACTTATTATTATAAGTTCATACAATTAGTAACGCAAAATGGCTTCATTTGAGCTGCATTTTAAAAACGACTAACTCAATATTTTAGCCAATAAAATATTGCAATTCCAAACATTTGTGCCATTTACGAGCATAATGTTCAGGCTTGCGTAAAATTTTTTTGGATAAAATACTGAGTTGGCCGTTTTTATAAATCGGATCAAATGGAGCAATTTTGCACCTGTACATACGATATTTATATCTTCCTGTCCAATTTTCTTTATTACTCTCATGCTAGTTCACCCACAAATTATAATTATTTTAATTTAATGTGTGCAAAGTGCGATAGGAATTCGCCAAAAAAAATTTTTTTTAATATACTCCCTCGAGCCTGATTTTCACGTCTTTGGCAGCATAATGATCACCCGCCCTAATAAGTTTGCCGGCAAAATCTTGCAACCCTTTGATTTTTTCGTCCTGAGCTGCGAACGATTTATCGAAATCATCCAAACCCTTAATCAAGGCTTCGACGTTATCTAACGTATCTCCCAAGTCTTCATTTCCTAGGTAGATCTACGATTATTAACAGATGTGATTATTCATTATTATATATATATAATAATTTCGAAAACAATGATGTCCAGTTAAAAGATATTATTAATCGCTCATCATTATATAATATAGTGTTGTTAAAAAGTCGAGTTCATCCGACTCCGACTCAGAGTCGAGTCGTTAGTCGAATATGTCGACTAACTCAAACTCAAGTCGTGAGCTCAAGTCGACCCAAGTCGTGAACTCAAGTCGACCCAAGTTGTGAACTCAAGTCAACTCAAGTTCATAAAATATTCGTCCTCTAGTTAAAAAAAATAAAATTATTATAATCTAAAGAATTCATCTCTAATATAGCTTTTCTGGCATATGATTTTGAAATGTCACCTTCATGACTAGAGGACGAATATTTCTATGAACTTGAGTCGTCGACTAGAGGACGAATATTTCAAATTTGGTATTATTAATTAAGATAGTTTTTGTATTTTTTTCGACTTCCAACTTGAGTCGTGACTCGTGAATATAATTAAATAATTGAGTCGACTAGAGGACCAATAGTTCTATGAACTTGAGTCAACTAGAGGACGAATAATTCAAATTAGTTATTATTATTTAAGATATTTGTTGTTATTTACTTTTTACTTTAAACCCCAAACTTGAGTTGTGAATACAAAATATATAGTTATTGACTAGAGGACGAATAGTTCTCTGAACTTGAGTCGTCAATTTAAGTCGATTAGAGGACGAATAGTTCTCTGAACTTGAGTCGTCAATTTAAGTCGATTAGAGGACGAATATTTCAAATTAATTATTAATTTATTTAAAATATTTTTTCTGCTTTTTACATTTTTTTACTTTAGACTTCTAATTTGAATTGTGAAAACTGAGAAGAATTATATAAATTAGTCGACTAGATGATGAATATTCCAAATTAGTTATTATGAAAATATTTTTTGTTTACTTGAGTTCATGACCTGAGTCGACTTGAGTTCATGACCTGAGTTTATAACTCAAGTCAGTTTGGGTCGATTTTTTTGACCCAAAACTTGACTCAGTTTTCGACTCAGTCGACTCGACTCAGTCGACTCGACTCAGTCGATTAACAACACTAATATAATATATAGGCCGAGATATCGTCAAAATGTGATCAAAAGTTTAATTATCATGACTCCATTAAATTGTAGACCAAGACTGAAACTAAGTCATGACAGACAATTATCGGTTATTAGAATCATTAAAAAAAATATAGAACAGAAGATCTTAAAATAATAAAATATTGTTGAATAGGGTTGGCTAAATATAAATTTATATGTACAGTATATGTATATTTGAAATTCTTAAAATTTGACTCTAAAAACTAATAATTTAAACTTTATTATAATAACATTTTCTAACTTGCTCAGCCATTTAAAAAATAGTTAAAAATATTTATATAATTGTAAAAATTATTCTAAATTTTTAAAATTAAATTCTAAAATTCATATCCTTTTAACAAACCAACCTCCTTCTTCTTCATCCACGATTCCGCTGCGTCGGTATCGCGCAAAAACAACTGGTAGTCTATGCATTGCTCAAACAAATTTTGGTAATCGCCCCAGAGTTTCCCTACATCCTCTTTGGCGTTTTTGATCTTTTCCAGCTAAATAAATTAAATTTATTGATTAGAAAAACAAAGATTATTAGAATAGTTTAGGAAATATTTTATGATAAGAATCGACTCCATTCCTTTTAAAGAGAATCAATAGAACGGACATTTTTTTATTTATGGATAAATCTATAAAAAAGTTTAAAATACTAAACCAATATAATAGCAAATTCTTGTCCCTTTGTCAATATTTAATACCTCCTCTTTTCACACACAGTACTATTACAACAATGCCAATATATCTAAATGATAATCATATTGTAAACAATAAGGTATAGGATGGGGAGCCAAAAACCTTCGTTCCACCTTATTCTCTATCGTTATAAATGTAAATTATTTGTGAAATATTTTAATGAATAAAAAATGGATAATTCGAAGACCGAACTTTATTTGGTAAATTTTCATGAGAAAATTGTCCATCTTCCACCAGTTTTCGTCCAGCCATAACCGTTTTCTCGTAACTGTCCATCCTGGAATCTATTTCACTCTAAAAATTATTTTAAAGTTTAATATTTAATAAAATAGACCTTACTCTATTATAATTATCCTCAAAAAACGTCAATCAAATTTAGCCAATAGTGTTCTTTTAAAACATATTTGTCCAATAAAAACGATTATAGCGTAATCGGTCCAATAGTAATCACCTTACCCAAACATTCATTCAATTTAGCTACCAGTTCTATTTATAAATCATATGGAAAACTCTGGAAAATATTATTACGATACGCAAATATATGCCCAGATTTCAGAATAAACTTGATGGAAGATTTAAAGACTCAACTGTTAATATTTAATATAAAAATTTAATTAGTTATTCTGTGAAAATTAATGTGGTGTATCATATTTAATCATTAATAGTTTATCATATTAAAAACACACAATTAAGAGGCTTCCGCCACCCAAAAGGGGGCATATCCAGTGCAGTGAATTTGCATCCACTGTTTGGCAGTAAAATTTACCCTATTGTCAGGGTCCATTTAATCAAAATACGAATGGCATGCTATTTTGACTTCTCCCTTAACACTCAATCCTAATTGCTATGTATACTTAATAAATTAAGACTCTGGATTTTGACCCATAGCAATTATTTTTGCTAATAATCTTCTAAATAGCCAATTGCAATGGGATGAATACCACCACATAGTTTTCGTGACACAATCAAGTTGACCCCATATTTGATTCAAATCTATGTTAGGAGGTCTTTGTTTAAAAGAGTATTTATGAAGGTGCATTTAAATAATTTTTTGAGATAAGAGAAGGTTTTATATGAAATTCATGTGTATATTTAATAGTTCCTCATCACTTTATTATATAAAATACCATGATATATTTCTTAAAAAATCATCTTTATTATTATTCTAAAACTGGACATAGAATAAATACTAGGGATGTAACGATACCACTTTTTGGAGGCCGATCCGATCCGATATTCCAGATATTAAATTGATATCGGCCGATAACCGATCAGATATCATATCTAATTTTGTATTCTGTAAAGATACCAATGGTTTTAATTTTTAAAATACTTTTTATTAGTACAACATCTATAATTTTACTATATCATAACATATGTCATTTAAATATATTATAATGATCAGTTATAGTTTATATTCAATTCAATTGCTACTATTTATATAATAAGTAATAGGCCTATTCAAAAATAATTCGAATATTAGATTCGATTCGAATAATTCGAATCTAATCGAATAATTACGAATACGAATAATAAATTATTTGTTTTATCTGAATACGAATAATCATTTATTCGATTCGAATAAAACGAATTATTCGTAATATTTAATAAATTGTTTAATAAATCTAACATTTGTCATTTCTATTTGTTGACCTGCCAATCAGACAGGTGATGTGTTTGTGTTTATAAAAATTCTAGCACAAATTTAAAAATTTCTGAAGTGAAAATTTAAATCTTTATTTGCCACATTTTTTGAATCTCACGAAAAGTTTATTTTTTGAATCTCATAATAAATTATATTAAAAATTACACAAACCAGAGGTACATAAAAATATATTACATTTCTACAATAATTATTGTTAGCTAGCCTAATTATGTTAGAGGAGATTGCTTCTAATGAAATTATGCTTGATGTTGAAGATGAGAAAATTTCCTCACAAAAGAGAGCAATCATATGGGATCAATATCAAATCCTTAAAGATAGTGAAAAGGCTGCTTGCAATCATTGCAAGAGTATTATAAAATGTAAAGGCAAAACAACATCTCCTCTTATTAATCATTATAATAGGCTTCATTCACACCTTAGTAAAAAAAATAATAAAATTGACATTTTTTTAAAGTCTACACCAAATTCTTCAAAAAAAATTAATTTTAAGGATAATTTATTAAAATTATTTATAAATCATAATATTCCTTTTATTTATTTTATTAAAAAAATTAATTCGAATTATTTGAAATATTCGAATAATTCGAATCGAATACAAATAGTAGATTTTATTATTCGTACGAATTTAAATAGTAAATTATTCGATTCGTTTAAACGAATCGAATATGAATAATGCACTATTCGATTCGAATTCGTTTTTGAATAGGCCTAATAAGTAATAACATTAATCCATTTACATAATTAGTAATAAACAAATATATGATGAAATTTGAAATTAATATCTAAAATTAATATATCGAAGATTTCTTTTTAGAAATACCAAAATTTCCAATTTATCAGAGATCGGTCTTCAGTGATGGGGACTGTTAATATCACTAGCATCACTAAAAACAGATTCTGAAGAGATTAATGAACACTTTTTTAAAACAGAATGCGAAAAAAATAACTATATTGCAGAATATATATTAACTAATTATTACTATTAAAAAAATTAAACATAAAAATATATTTCGATTTTATTTATAAAAATAAATAGTTTTTTAGATATAACTTTTTATAAAAGCGCCATTTTATATCGGATCGGATCGGAAAATTTTATAATATTTGCCGATAACCGATATTTTAAAATGGACGAAATATCGGCCCGATCCGATCCGATCAGATATAAAATATCGGTACATCCCTAATAAATACCAAATATTTCTATTCTCCTAACAACTTCTCTTTAAATCCAAAAATTTTATAGAATAATTACTATTTATTTTAAAAATTTTAATATATTTTAATGGAATGGATAAAAATATGGTAATATTATTTTTCTTTAAATAATAATAAAAAATATTCTTTTTATTTATTTTTTTTGAACCAGTAATATCAGGATCCTTATGTAAAACCATACAATCAGTTAAAAAAAAACTCTTAATTCCATTACATAATACTTGAAAACGCTTTAAAGAATCAGAATAATATACTTTTATCAATAAGAAAAAATAAGGAGATAGAATAATCTAATACTAGCTATAATTTATTTATAAATTAAAATTCTAAGATTTTTTTATGTAAATAGATTAATATATTCTTAAATATATCATAAAAAATAATTTTTGACAAAAATGTGACAAAATATTTTAATGATTGAAAATGGTTTAACATTTCAATCAGAGATATTCATGTGGAGGCTTGCAGCCCATGTAGTGCCAAGTATAATATATTTACTAACGTGCCTGGGCTAAGACAGGGTTTTTGATAAAAAGCCTAAAAAATTTTCATTTAAATTTAGCCTATTAAACTGTTATTAATTAACTTAAAAATATATTGCATTTTTTTTCTTCTAATAATAATAAATGTCAGTATTACAAAAAAGTGATTCCCTGAGTACGCTTAAATATTGTTTATTTATTCATTTAAAACAATAAATTAAATTTTTGGATATGGGCTTGGGCAAAATTTTTGAAACTTATGATGAGCTTGGGTTTGAATATTTTATTAAATATGGAATGGGCCTGCAAATATTTTTACTGCTGACCTGGGCTAGAGGCTGATGAATAAATCAAGGCCCGTGAAGGTCTCTAATTTCAATAAATGAATTATTTCATTTTCCATCAGACTTTATTTGAACATAATCAAACCACAGATATGCCTAATTTAAATCATTTGCAAAAAAATTTCTGATAATTGCTGGATTCAAGAAATTGTTGTACACAAAGAAATAAAGAAAGCCATTGTGAAGTGTATATATGGAGGAAATATTAATCCATTTTTATTTTAGCATAAATAACAAAAAAATAATGCCTGTTGTTACCTTTCCTTTTACATCTATTTTAGGGATTTTTTGAGAACCCGTTATCAAAAATATAAGTTACTTGCTAATAGCCTGTCAAGAATGACGGGGAATCAAATTTTCTTCTTTATTCAATGATGGATGAATAATAAATTTTACCTTTATTTGATGATGAATGAATCAGAAATTTTCCTATCTTAGATGTGATTCAGAAATTTATATTTATTTAGATGAGGAGTTATTCTAAAATTTTCCATTCTTTTTTATAAATTATGTTTATGAAGTATATGGTTAGTATTTTAATTTATGTGCACAATAAAAAATCTTTTAAACTAAATTTTTATTCATTTGTATTTGTAATTTATAATATAAAAAATATATTCTTGCTAGATAATGTAAAAATAGGAAAATTTATTATCATCCATCATTAAATAAATAAGAAAATTCTGATGCCCCGTCATTCTTGATGGGCTATCAGCTAGTATTTGTAATAATTCCCTTCTTATTAAATAATGGAACTATTATAACCTCTTTTACTTATTTTACCATGATATTTTCAATAAATTATAATGATATTAAGAGCCAACAAAACATATGACTGTGTAGCTTAAAACGCTAAGTAAAGTTATATGAAATTATATCATATAATAATTTTTCATGAAAAGGTAATTTATAAAATAAATATAAAAAAACCTTGATCTCCTGATGGCGGCTGATTAAGACTTCAGCCTCGGGCACACTTTTAGCAAGTTCCATGGCATTTATAGTGGATTTCATGTCGTTATACCAGGATAGCAGGTCCCGGTAATCGGCAAAAAAACTATGGTACTCCAGCGACTTTTCCAGCTTCTCGCGTCGTTTTATCATCTTCCCAAAAATGTATAAAATATATTTGTATTTGAAAGATATTCGTATATTCGTGAGGAAAAATTATCATCATTTATGATAAATCTTTTAGCAGGTTTTAGATAATGCTAATCATAAAAATGGTACGTGCCATTATTTCAAATCTTACTTCCTCAATTCTAGAACATTCTAAAGGTAAATATAACTATTTTTAGTTGGTTTTAATCCGGTAAACCTCTATAAGTATGCTGTGTAAAAAGCGCCACTAAAAAAATGTATTTTATTTTCAAAAGTTATATAATAAGACTTTCTGTCGTAGGATTGACCAGGCGTTGTAAATGTCATCGTACTTCCCTAACAATTTGACGTGCTCATCTGGGTAAGCTTCTTTCAATTGCAGGCTCTCGCGTTCCAATCCCTCGATCTGTTCAATTCAACATGACAAAGGTGAAAAAAGAATAAGATAATATATAAAATGAGGGTAGGGTTAATTTCGTTTGATAATCGTATGTGTTTTTAGAGCATGATAAAGCTCAATAGAAACCTTTTCGGATAATGATTTCAGCTCGGTTTCGATCCCGTCATGCTTTTTGATGAGCGATTGAACCTCGACTAGGTCACGGCCTGTCTCGTCATTCGATAAAATGGCGTCCTTCTCGTTTATCCAAAATATTATCTCGTCAGCATCCCTGAAGTATAAATTATAGGAAATCTTTTTTTAAAAAAAATAATAATGATGAACGGCAAATTTATCCTTAATTTTATTTTATATATCAAATGTTATAGTGAATAAAGTAATTGTATACTACCGATTAAACTATAATATTTTTTTATTACGTCTCTTTTACAAATAAAATAATAAAAATTAACAGAATTATGCCATCATTTCATACATTATAGTAGTATCGCTAAATGGCTCGACTTGAGCCGAATTTCAAAAACGGCTAACTAAATATTTAAGAAAGAAATATAGTCTAAGCCCTTAGATTTCGATAACAAATGTCCAAACCTTTTTGGCATCTATGAGTAAAACATTTCAGGCTAGCGTAATATTTTTCTGGATAAAATATTGAGTTTATCGTTTTTAAAAATCGGCTCAAATCGAGCCGTTCAAAAACAATACATTATGACATCAAATAAAATAAATATACCGATGCGCCCGATAATTTGTGGGGGGGGGGGGAGCTCAAAATTATTTATTAAATAAAAGTAAATGGTTAAAATAAAAAACACCGCAAAATATCCTAACCTTTATAAATATATATTATATATAGGGATAGGTTGCCTTGTCTCGTATCTTCAATCCACGTTTTGGAATAACTTACCTAATTGAATTCGATTTAAAATTACCAAACTGAATAGCAATTTAGAATCTAATTCAACTAGTCAAGGCATTCCAAAAAATATTGATTATGAAAACAATAATAATAGGGAAATAAAAATATGCTAAATTTATAGAGGAAAAGAAATATCCTATTTTTAAAAAAAACCTATTGAATCCCTGGATTTGGTGGGCACCTTTTAGCTTGTTTTCCCTTTGTTCGCTAAGTTCTATCAAATTCTTCATAGAACTGTTCAATTCGGTCCTTTTTTCCTCTATTATGTTGCTGTCGGGGTGCTTCTCTGATATCAGGTTATTAGCACTTTGGTTTATAGCTTTTAGCTTGTCCTGATATAGGCTTAATTCCTAAGGGGGGGGGGGTGTTAAATATTAATTTGTATACAACGATATTTTTCAATTCTATAATATATGAAAATTTAAATAGCATATTATACATGAGGTCATCAGTTCGGTTCGATTTTTAAAAACGACCCGAATAAGATTTTCGCCAAAATAATATTATATAAGCCTGAAGATTTTGATCATAGATGACAAAAAGTTTTATGTTATTTTGGTTAAAATCTTAATCGTGATCACCTGAATCAGACTTTTTAACAACCCTAATCAAATGAGTAGCCTGACTTTCAAAAAAATTAAGTCAATATAACTATTGACTAGTTCGTTTTCCGAGCCTAAGGATTATCTCAGTTTACAATTTTTATTCGAATTATTAGAAATTCTACAAGATATTCCGTTATAAAACGATCTTTATGATATTTAATGCAGGGGAAAACTTGGGAATCGCAATTGGCTAAAACGAAAGCCCTGTAAGTTCACTCAAAACCCAGTCCCTAAAGTTGGGCACGTTTAGAAATGCCGAGCTATTGCTTGATTTATAAAAATAAAGTGGAATATATTTCATTTTTTCTTTATTTAAAAAACAATCGATAATGAGAATTTCCCAGGATTAAGAAAAAGCAAATAAGTAAGGGGGCCGGACTCGGGCCTAATTTTATTTAAAATAATCGATCAGTGTTCAAACATTTTAAAAAATAAGCATTTAATAAAATATAATCACTTATTATTCGTCGTTTAAAATATGGAAATAATTGGGAAAATTAATATAACTAAGTAAGCCTAAGCAGACGATAACTTTTTTTAATGCGTAAACGGGACAAGATATAAAAAAAATTTGGAGTCGATATTTGAATTTAAAAAAGCTGGGAGGTTTGAGCCTAAAAAATTTTTTTTTAATTTGTGGCTGGGTCGAGATTAAAAAAATTTTTTATTTTGGGGCCAGGCTCGGATGGAAAAAAATTGAATTCGCAGGGTTCTAAGTCTAAGAACATACCAGTGGGTTAGCGTTTCAACGTTCAAGTCAGAATGTCAAACTAAACCGCGAAATAGAAATAAACATTATAAATTCCCACACAATACTTGTAACAAAAGTGACCCGAACCATTATAAAATACTCTTGAACCGATTGATACCGATTTTTGAAATTATTTACTAACATATTTAGTATTAATTTATATGTGATTTATTACTTAATTTATACTTTTTAAAGATGTTTTATAATAATAAAGAATTAGAACTTTATTTTCTTTAATTTTTGTCTGCATTATATTTTTCAATTATTTTTATAAGGTTATTTATTATGTGTCATCAAATATATATATGGATAATTATAAAAATTGGAAAGAACTAATGTTAAAAAATAACCGGAAAACTTAGTCGTTTTATTCCCCCACCCATCGAAAATTTGTTCTAGTAAATAGCCTTTTAAGCTAATAACAAATCCCACCCTCTCAAAAATGTATGCAATATATTACTATAAAAAAGAATTAGTAAAAGTTAATAACTTTTTAAGATAATGACTATAATTCCATAACCGTTATACCTAGCGATTTAAAACCATGGTTCAGGTGCATAATGTTTAACGATAGTAAACCAAAAATAGAGCGTTTCTAGATTCATTTCGATTAGTTTTACACAGTGTAATAGTTATCGCTCGTTCCATTTTTTAAATTTTAATCAAAATGTTCAAATACAGATATGTATATATCATAAAAACCTTCCTAAAGTCCTCGAACTTTTTATTAAGTAAGCCAACCCGGTCGAGGTCATCAAACTCGTCATGCGCGCTTCCGGTTGTGGTGTGCTCTTGCAAATCCCAAGAGGTAGCAAAGCTGGATAGAAAAGTGTGGCGATCGTTGAGCCAGTATTGTACCTCGTTGCACTCGCGAACAAAGTCCGCAAGTCGTTGGAGCTGGGCAAGGTATGCACTCTTTTCGCGACTCTTGACCCGTAAGCCATCCCACATCTCATGCAGCTCAGTCAGTCTTTCCTGTATCAATGTTTTGAGGAATATAGCATTTTATTAGTCTGCATATCTCTACGTATTCTAGGATATTTAGTAATTACAAATATAAAAACTTTTTCTAAGTAAAAATGTTATAGTATTTAAAAAATGTGATTATTTATTTACGAATATGGATTAGTATTTTATAAAATAATTATAAAATTAAAACACAAGAAATATAAAACACAAGGTGAGCGAATTATACAATGAACCTGAATTTCCCTTGATGCGTAATGGCTTGTCTTCACCATTTCTTGACCGGACTTGTCAAGTGTATCCAAAAAGCTTTTATGCCCCACGACCTCGGCTTCAAACGCGTGATGTTTTTTTACCCTGGCCTGGTGTGTATGGAGAACATTTTTTAAAAAAAATTAAAAATGAATAAGGAAGCTTTTGGCTAAAGATACTCTCGGTAAAATTAAATAACAATAATTTCGAATAAATAATTAAGGTGTCATAAATGACGAATTTGCAAACAACTAATTTTAAGTCTATAGGAAGATGCACAAAATATTTTTCTTTAAAAAAAGCTTATTGACTATAAAAGAAATGTTTCTTGTAAAATGATGTTCCACAACTACTACAAAATATATATAAAAATATTATACCTGCAAATTAGTGGTAACGTCCTTAAAATTTTCGTCGTTCAAGATCTGCATTTTTTCGTAGATCCAGGACTCGAGCTCGTTGGCGTCCGACTTAAAGAATTGCAGCTTTTTCGAATCCTCCAGCTTGAGCCTCTTTTCTTTGCTCTGCTCCTTCACCGCTAGGTAATGGTTAAGGACCTATCGATTTGTATAGTAATTAAAATAATATAACCTAGTCCTACCATTTCCGAAAATTCTCAATTAACTTTATTTCTAACGCTTTCTTTCTTTTCTTATTTTCTATCTTTCATAAAAATAATGATATAAAGAGCCAAAACTATAATCGTTTAAAAAAAATAACAGATTCTTTTATTAACCCATTAATGGTCAAAATTTTTCTAGTGGATAAAAATGCTCAATTTTTTCAAATTATATTGATTAATGCTCAAATATGATATTCTAAAAAAATCAGCCAAAAAAAATAATACTAAATAGAAAATCTAGCCTGGTGCATATATGCACCGTTAACCATTAAGAGGTTAAAAAAGATAAAAATTATATAAAATACTATAAGATCAAAAAACAACAAATATCTTTATTCTTTTTTTGTAATTTATAATAAAAACGAGAAAATGTTTATATATTGTGAAAATCCTTGAAACATATGGAGTGCGATTTGACATGTTTGGCACATATATCTTGAGTGCGTATGGCAATATCTGCATCTTCGTCTTTTTCCATCTATAATTTTGGATAAATAATGTCCAGATGAATCAATAGGGTTTTCACACTGTAATGCAAACTGGCTGGTGTGACCTGTACTTGAATTTTTTTCTATTTTTACTGACGATCGAAGGAGGTAATTAGTAACTTCTCATTTAAATGCAAGAAACTCTTCTTGTCATCTCGATTCGCGAATTTACAGATTTTCCATAAATACCAAAGCTACATCAATAAAATTGGTGAATATTGGCCACCACCATTTTTTTCCTCTTATTTTTATTCTATATGTAGATATTAGATTATCACATAGATCAACTCCACCCATGTGTTTGTTATAAGCACTTACCATATTTGGCTGATGAATTTTTATTTTAGAAGATATTTTCTTAGAATACCTTGAAACATTAGAAAGCAAAGAGATAGTGTGGCATGTCGATGCAACGGTCACCATCGAATTATCATTCCAACGAACTACAAATATTTCGTTTAATTTTTCAAACCTATAATCATAATATCCTCTTTCTTTTTTTGCTACAACCTTTATAGATTCAACTGGGCAATGCTCTATTCTATTGTCCCTCACAGTTCCAGTTGCAAAATATCCCATTTGTTTTAAGTATGACAAGAGTTTAAATGATGTAAAGAAATTATCAAAATATATTTTATGATAATTTGGTTTTTGCAATTTAATAATTTTATGATTACATTTCCACCTAATCCATATTCATATTTATTTTCGCTTTTTCCTTGATATATATCAAATGAGAATACGCAACCGTCGGAAGAAGCCAATATCCAAGACTTGTATCCGAATCTAATTGGTTTTCCTTTTATGAACATTTTGCAAGAATGTCTTCCTCGATATGGTATCATCTCGTCATCTATTGATAAATGATGTTTGAAAATTCCGAATTGCTGAAATTTATTATTCAATATATTAATGTAAGGCCTAACTTTATAAAATCTATCATGTATATCTATTTTAGTATTGTCTGCCAAATGGATATTATATTTCAAATTTCGAAATTGTAATTGGGTCATTGTATCCCGGATTATTGGAATAGAAATATCGCTATCATTAGACCAGTACATTCTTTCTTGTGGGAGAGAATGATATCCAGTAAATAATAGAATTCCAATAAATCTCTGAATATCTTGGATGGTTATGCATATGTTAGGTCTATTCATTTGTTTAGCATAAATATTACTTTGTTTTACAATTAGTGAATATAAGTCTTCGTCGAAAATTAAAGAAAATATATCTGATGGACTTTTACCATGTAAATCATTTTCAAGTTTTATTACATCTTTCTTTTATCCATTGAAAGGACCTGAAGAATATATTGCATCCGTTTTTCTCCATTTTAAATTGTGAGAAATTCGAGAATAGCTTCTTGTAGAATATGGTTCTGGAAGGTCGTCATCAACTGAATTATGAATCTCCAATTCTCCAGCTGTATCTGAAGGCAAAACTCCGACATTTGTTAAGTCATTTTCATCGAAATCTTCTTCATCACTAACTGCAGAGGGGTTTGGCGGAATTATAACCATATCTCTTTCTTCAATTGGTTCCTCTTCAAAAAGTTGAGCAAGCGTTTGTTCAATTGTTAGAAAACGTTTCATTAAAAAAATTTATTAAAAATTAAATATCTAGACAAATTATTTTCGTAGAATCTTGATTTTTTTATTAGTCATCTATTATTTTGATAATTTTGATTGAATTGACAAAACAGGTGCATAATATTTTATATAAATAAAATAAAATCTTTAGAAAGGAAGAGGCTAAAAATAATTTTAAACTTTTGAATATTTATGAACCTAATAATTTCATATAATTTGATCGGGATAAAAAATTATAATAGGAACAATATATTATTCGATTTAATCTCAGGGGGCTAAAAAAATTTTTTTAATTATTTTCAAAAGGTCTTTTTTTGGGTATAAAATTTTTTAAAAAAAATTCTTAGGGGGCTCGAGCCACCCATCCCTCCTCCCCCCACCCTTAGTGACGGTAGTGGTTTTAATATAAAAAATTATAATTCATTATGTTAAATTTCATTTGTTTGAATTTTTTAAATAATTTATACTGCTAGATGGTTAACGGTGCATATATGCACCAGTCAACTTTATGTGGTTACCTATTAAAATTTTAATTATTTAAAAATTCAAAAATGATTGATAAATATTGATATATCTATAAAGAATATATACACACTAGTTTTCATCGAAATAATTTTATAATATGCTTGTGAGATGACTTAAAAAATTTTGCATTTTAGACCTCATAAATTCGCAAAGTTTGAGGGTTTCTTAGGGACATAAAAAAATATTTTTTTCATATTTTTCTTTTCCAGTTTTGAAGTACAATGTCTGAACTATATAAAAATCTTTTTTATTATTTTTTAAAATAAAAACTACTATGTTAAAATAAGGTATATAGGAGGTGGTGCATATATGCACCGTTAACCAGTAACGGGTTAAATTTATAAATGTTTAAAAATAGCATATGATCTTTAATAGCTGGCCCTTATAATAAGATAACAATTAGTATCAAGCTCAAAACTTTGTACAATCATCTGATTTATCTGAATTCCTATTGACCGTCATTCTTTTTAAACTAAACCCTTCTCATCCAAGCTTACATGAGCTTTGTTTAATATTAAGCCCAATAAAAATATTTCCTGGCTATAAGCGAATCTCAAAAATTATTATATTTAAATTTGAAACTATGTGTTCGTTGAAGGATAGATACAGAATATTTTTTAAAGTAATCATAAAATAGAAGGAATGGTTAAAAAAACTCGATAATTACTTCATGCCTCCTGTTTTCGATATCTTCCACCGTTTCTAAAACGGGTATGTCCTTGACTTCCGTATTGACTTCTTCCATCGTATAAATTGATCTTGGATAAATATAATTAATAAATAAATTTTAAATATTGGAAAACTCAAGGGTAAGTCTATTTAATAAAGACCACCTTTAATAGGCTGATATTTTAGGGGGGGGGGGGGGGAGGGGGGTGATACTTTGATAGGGATCGAACCAAACCCCCAAAATAAATTTGAATTAAGTAACAAAGCAATTTAAGTAAAAAGAAGAAAAAAATTTAATAATTCGAAAATAATTGATTATTAAAAAACAAAGATTATTAAGCCAATTTTTTCATTTTAAATGTATCTGATTTTCAGAGTACTCTATTACAAATAGATATTCGAACTTATAAATTTAGAAGTCTGCGTAAGCTGACCCTCTTAACCGGCAGATAACGTTTTAAATGAACCGTGTTTTAAATAAATTTATATTTAGTGATATTGACATTTATGACTGACATTTTAAGATTTATTATTTTTTTAATGATATTTACATTTATGACTGACCTGTAAATCAAGATTTTCAATTATGAAGAGTGTGTTAAATCAATTTTTTTTTTATTTCAAAATTAATATAAATAATTTTAAAATGTTTTTTTACAAGGTGGATTTTATTTAATAAACTGATTAAATGTGTGTAAATAATACTTTTTATTTAATATCTTAATAAATTTAATCAATTTTAGATAAAGTATATGAAAACATAACCAATTGCTGGCCTACAAAGTAATTGTATATTATTAAAATATTGTTTGATAAACAAAACATTATCACTGACATAAAAACCTTAGTATTATACTAATACTCATATTTGCAAAATAAATTATTGCAATTTTTCTAATATTATATTTCAGCATTGATAACAAAATGATTGCCTAAATACACTGAAATATTGTTTATTTTCATTGAATACAATAAATTTAATTTTTGGATATTTTAGCCTTATTTAATTTAAATCTTTGCTAATATAAAAAAATATTGCATTTTTTTTTATATAATAAATTTCAGTATTGCAAACAAAATGATTGACTAAATATAATGAAATATTCTTTATTTTCATTGAATATATTATTTATTGAGTACAAAAAATAAAATTTTTGGATATGCGCTTGGGCCTAAAAAACTTTCATTTCAATTAAACTTATTTAAATCTTTGCTATAAAAAAATATTGCAAATTTTTTCTAATTATAAATTTCAGTATTGCAAAAATGATTGCCTAAATATACTGAAGTATTGTTTATTTTCATTGCATATATTTTTTATTTTCATTGAATACAATAAATTAAATTTTTGGATGTGGACTTGGGCCATTTATTATATATATTTTTTTTAATTATTTCAACAGTTGATTTTGATACAAAAATTATCCTTCTTTTCCCCTATTAAATGGCGAAAGATGATCAAGTATATAAATTTTGTTTAGTATATTTCTATTCATTTAATAAAATTCAATGAGATACAGGATTATATCCCTTATCAGATATCCATCATCGATGTCTGCGAAAAATGGCTCAAGACGTAATCTGTGGGTACAAGCCTCCAAATATTAAATTCACATGGTAATTTGTTTCACCATTCTCATAATCGTGAAGTCATTCTAGACTGTGACAGAAGAATTAAACTTCTTAAAATAGTTTACAGTGAATGTGATACTAATGTCAGTATTTTCTCTTGCTGCTCATTTTGGTATCAACAAGACTCAGCAAATTGGCTGATAGGAAAATATATTTGCATAATCATAATATATGATGAATAATATATTTTTATATATAATACACAATGGTAAATTGTTTTACCATTTATTAAATGTTATTTATTAAATATTTTATAATAAAGAATAGAACATTCGAATTTATAAATATGATGTGATAATTTTGTAAATAATAAAACGATATATATTAAAATAGCTAATAAAGTAGTCGTCGTTTTATTAAAATCGCGACTAGTGGTGAAAATAATTCCTTAAATGGATATTCAGAAAATTTGGGCGAATAAAAGAAATAGGCGGATTTATCTACGATTAAATTTGATAAATTCGATGACGAATCTTCTATTTTTCTCAATGGGAAGTCAGTTTTCGGTTAAAAAACGTAAGCCCATCTGAATGTCAATATAAAGATATATTTTTAACATTTGGCAATAAGAATATTAAGTTGGTTGACCGTTCTTGTTATCCTGATTCGATTGAAACTCTATCTTTTAAGGAAATTAAATCAATACGTTTTAATCAACAACTTTTGCTTCTAGATTTGATTTCGTTAGACTACGGAGAACAACTGAAACCATAACTGAATTTGTAGATAAAATTAGAACAATTGGCAAGCGTTGACATTATCTAAATGATATTGACGAGCGTTTACGTGATCAGTTTATGGTTGGCATGGAAATGCCGGGATTGGAAAGAGATCTTAGAGCTCTATATCCCGACGGTCTTGATAGAAATAGTATTGACTTTACAATTTATTCTTGATCTGGTATTAGCTTCTGAGAGAGCAGATAAAGAAATGGCAAATAAAAATATGCTTGTTGTTAATAAGATAAATGATAATAACAAAAGAAATGATAATAATAATGAGGGCTGTGCCGATCCACATATTTTCCACCGATCCGATCCGATATTAGTTCAAAACCGATCCGATTATTATATTGATTTTTCACCACCTCCCTTTGAACCAAATGTAATTAAGGAATCAATATTTTTATGCAAAATATCGAATTAAGCATTTATTTTAAATTTTTTTTACTACAATAATTTTAAAAAAGTTTACGTATATTGGTAGTATTAAATGAATTTTTCATTATTCTTCCCCGTGAAATTAGAATTCCGCAGATAACGCATTTTACAAAATTATTTTTGTCTTTTGTAAAATATTTCCATAATACAGATTAGATGTCTGCATTGGGCGGGGTTTCGAGCGGGCGGGTGGGCGGGTTTAAAATTTTTCGAAAATGGGCAGGCGGGCGGGCGTGTTAAAAAATTTGAAACTATGGGCGGGCTGGGTGGGCGGGTTAAGAAATTTAAACAATGGGCGGGCGGGTTAAGGAAATTTAAAATTTTTGTTCAAAAACAAACTAAAAAAAATAATTGTTTAAATGATCTATCTTTTTTTATTGTACCAATCGTTTTTTTTTAAGTGAAGAACATTTACCTAACTATTTTTTTCTTAAAATAAATAAACATTTTTGTCTATTAAAAATTTCCTTTTATGGGAATGTAATAAAACTTTTCTCTTAAAATTTCCTTTTTTGGGTCTGCAATCTGCATTTGGTTTCACTTTTATTTAAAGATCTCACTTGAGGAAGAGGATATACTTCAAACGGATATCCTACTTTGGTGGAAACGACAAAAAAGAGATTTGACAAAGCTATTAAGATTAGCAAGAAAAATATTGGCAATTCCTGCAACTAGTGCTTCTTCCGGTGGATTTAGCATTGCTGAAAGATTTTTAGAACAAAGAAGAACGTGTTTGAATCCAGAAAATGTCGATTCATTATTATTTTTGCATTATAATTACATATAATATTAATTTTACATTTATTTTTTTTTCATAAATATTCAATTTGATCAAATATATTGTCCATAATTTACATTGATTATTTTTATACTTATATTAATTTCCTAAATTATAAACTTTTTGTTGAGGTGTAATGCTGAAATATTTATATTAGATGCTTAAAAAAATGAAAGAATGACCATAATTAAATTTTATAAGCGGGCTTGGGTTAAAAAATTTTTATAAATAATGGGCGGGCGGGTAAAAAATTTTAGACTAATGGGCGGGCAGGCGGGCGGGTAAGGAATTTTAGACAAATAGGCGGGGCAGGCGGGTATATATTTTTTTGAAAACTATGGCCGGGCTGGGCGGGCGGGTTAAAATTTTTTTAAACCATTGGATGGGCGGGCTTTTGGAACCCACCCAATGCAGACCTCTAATTCAGATACCATATTTAAAAAAATCTATTATTTAAAGTATAAATAATAAAATTGGCATTATTTAAAAAAAGTTTTTAAAAAAATAAAACTTTTGGTGTTCCTTTCTATTTTTATAAAAAACTTTTAAAATACTATAAATCTATTTTTAAAAAGAAATAAAATTTAGAGGGTGTTGTGCATTTGCATTGCATTGTTTAAAAAAAATTATTTAGAAAATATTATAATAATGTAAAATAAATATACATAAGATAAAAAAAAAGAAAAGTAAAAAGATCGGATCAGTTTTTACAGGTATCGGACCGATCCGATATTTCTGGAAAACGCTAAATATCGATGTCGACCCGATTCGATATTTAATATCGACACAGCCCTAATAATAATAATTATAAACATCCAATTAAAACGACTGCGTTTGATAAAGACTATAATAGTCAAATAATACATTTGATAAAGAAAATAATAAACTTAAATGTTATAAATGTGGGTTTATTCATGAAAAGTGAGATTCCAGCTCCAAATGCGGCATGTAATAAATGCAAAAAAATTGGTCATTTTTCAGTTTGTTATCAAAGAATTTAAAATATACAAGAGTGTCATCAAGTGATTCTATTCATAATATATGGAAGATTCAACAAATCGAGAGAATCGAGCAAAATTAACTGCAGAGATAAATGGATTATGTTGAATTTGATTTTGACACTGGTGCACAAGCGTCATTGATAGAGATGATATATGGACAAGTATGGGACGACCAAAAATTAGGCCAACCAGTCCATTGACTGCATATGGTGATCATCCGTTAGACGTTAAGGGCGAGACCCAAGTCAATGTTAGGATTGGATCAGACAAGGACCCTACCAGTAGTAATAATGAATACAACTGGGGTGCCTTTTTTCAGATTACAATGGATTATTCAATTTAGGAAAGCCTTGTCAGGTTATGAAAACAAGTAAGCAATTTGGTCAACTCAACACTATTGAAAAAGAAAAATTTTACATAACACTAGATTCTAGAATTCGAGATTTGATAAATAAACATCAAGAAATTTTTGATAAGATGGGATATATACGTGATTTTGCAGTGCGAATACATTTAAA